CCTTCCACTAGATCTGCCTGTAACTATCATCCCCTCATACCTTGTTCCTTGAAGGAAAGCCAAAGCCAGCTCCTGCAGCCCTTGATAAGTACCCTTCCCCATCTTGTGTCCAGAAATATCTTTTGTGTGAACTTCAAGTTCAGTCAGTTGAAGAGGATGAGTTTCTGAGTGTACTGTGTCCGGCAGCTTCTTTCCCTGGACTTCAGTGCAGGGCTCTCCCCCTCCCTCTAGAGTGTGTTTATAAATCACAAGTATATCTTAAACATTTGAGGACAATTGGGGTCTCTACCCAGGAGTCCAAAGACTTGTTGGAACAGTGTTCTCCACTCTCAGATGCCCAGATCAGTGTCCACTTCTGCCGTGGGATCACAACCATCTGCCTAGTCAGTAACCCTATTTCCAGCCATCTCTTTGGATTCAGTGTGATTCATTCTCCAATACTGGGATCATGCCTGGGCGGGCCCTCAGGGTGTTTGCGCTGTAAAACTCTCTCTACCTCAGTATGTGGAGATATGCACACTTATCTGGTCTCTTGGGGCTTCTTTTATATTGAACCTTGTGCTCAGTAAGCTAAGTAGTGCTTCTAGCCCTGATGGCCAGTTTCCTTCTGGCCTGGGGTTAGGTTTTGCTGGCAACCAGGCTCTCTGTCTTTGGAGTCCTTTCTCTCTCACTTGGTACACATAGTCACACTGCAGCTTCTAGCATTGTCCATCCCCACTAACACTGACTCAGGCCTAGGCCCTGGCATCCACCTTCTACTGCCTGTCTCTATGGGGCCAAGGACTCGGGGACCTCATATAAATGGAGTACCACAGGACCCGCCCTTTTCTGAGTGGCTAATTTCTCAGCCCAACATCCATCTTTGTGGTAGCATGTGGCAGACTTCCTCCCTGCTGAGGTTGCGTGGTGTTCTCTCCCATGGACTTATCCCCAGCTTGTTCCTTACGGTGCACAGACCCTGGGACTCCCTCACCTCTTGGCTGTTACACAGCCATACCATTCTTATTCCTTCTTCTAATCCTGTATTTGACCACACTGCCTTTCTGGAACCACCGAGGTAGGAAAGACTATATGTGCCCAGCCCTGGACCTGCCCTTCTTTTTAGATCTTAAGAAATGTCCTTGCCTGGGGTATCCGGGGCATCCAGCTATGCATGCCCTAGGTTCCATTCCCCTTCGACGGGAACAGTCTAAGGGGAATGTCCTTATTAATATGTTCTGATATCTCCCCAGCTAGACAACAATACAATTCAGGGCAGTCACTTGCCGCCACCCTTCCACTACCAGGGAACTGTGGGAAGAATTCTCAGAATTTATGGTTGTCTTGGTTTAGCTTAAAATGGTAGCCAGGGTGAAGGTGCCAGACCTTCAGGGTTATTTTTCTCTCCAGCAGGGCGTCTGCATGTATGCCATATTCTTGCACACTGCTTTACACTGATTTCTCCTATAGACTTGGGTGACATCTTAGCTGGGTATAGGAGTCCGTGGCTCCCTTTTCTTTTCTTCAATACCTTATCTCCCTGGGATTGTCATCTCTTATTCTTAGCACCCTACTTCTGACACTGTTTTATATATATATATATATATATATATATATATCTGTGATGCTGGTGTGCTCTGTCCTGGCTCGAATCTCAGGAACCAAATTCTGTCCTGTTCTGCATTGATTTATCTCCTCTGGGTCTGGGAGGTTGTTACATGTGTTGTTACATCACCTGCCCCTGCAGACTTCACCCACAGGGAGTAACTCCAGTTGGCTTGGAGCTTCACATTCCTCCCGGTAAGGCCACTTGAAATGTCATCTGTAGCCTGGTGTTCCTAAAAAGGCGATCATTTATTCCTTGGTTTCTATGGCATTCATCCCACAGAGCCTCGGGGCTCCCCACTGTCCAAGCCTGACATGTGGTACCATCTCCCATTCTTTGCCTCCCTCTATACCAGGTGCCCTAACAACTGGACACAACCTCCTGTGTGCCCAGGTGCCAAGGAATATTGATCTGCTACTCTTCCCATACAAGAAATGGCTCTGGACTCTAGAACCAGAGGTGATGGTTGTGTTTAAAATATACCTGCTGTGGTCCATGTGATTTAGCCACGGTGGAGCAGTCCTCTCTTCCTGCCTCAGATTGCCCACTATCACCAAGAGATTCTTCACATACATCAGCTCTAAGTCACATCAGGTGAAACGGTGGACTCACCCTCTTGTCTGTTACTGGACTCTAACTGGGGAGTTTGATGGACACATGAAGACCCACTGGACTCTGAGAAAATAAGCACAGGGCATCCACTACAGAGGTGTCACATACGCTGGAGCAAGCAGCTAGGCCTCTGTCTGCCTGTGCCCAGCAGATATGGCATCTGAACAGCCCACATGTAGGTTACTACCATTGCTCAGTGATGCAGATGTGTTCTCTCTGAACACGGAGCCCTGCATCCCTGATACTCATGCAACCCTCTACCCTTGCTCCTAGGTGACCCCAAGTGCCAAGTCCTTCCATCACTTTCTCTGCTCTGCAGCCTGTCCTGGGTTATGTTGTGCCCTGGTGTCTCTTAGTTTGATTCCCACACATCACTGTGAGTCATCCCACAACCTGCCCTTGGGAAGTCTCATGGTCCCTTCTTGGGTCCCTGGGAAGGGAAAAGGGGCTTCCATCTGCAGGGGCGTTTGATGGGTACAATGTGCTGTTCTTCTAGGGCCAGCATGAGCTGTGACAGTGTGTAGCCAGGGGATGCTCACATGAATATTTGCTCCGACAGAGGCTGGTTTTATGAGGACTTGGAGCTGGAGCAGATAATTGGAAGAGCCAGCAAGTGTAATCTTTTTTAACACAAAGACAGTTTGATTCGAGTTTACAGGAGAAACTACGGGGCAGGCAAGCCGTAAAAATCCCCAGCTGTTGGCAGGGGAAGAAAATGGAGGAGAGAAGGGAAAAAGTCATGCCATTTAAGCTGGCATGGGGTTCAGACGCATGGCTGGCAAGCAACCATGTGGTGAGGACAGAGACTTTATGAAAGAGTAAGGGAGCCCAAAATATGGGGGCGGGTAGTAGCCCAAAGAGATAAAGGAGGCACGCTTAGAAGAGAGAAAGAAAGAAAGGGGAAAATCACATTTCTCTGGATAATCTAGAATAGCTGATTTATGGCCCCACAAGGCTACTGTCCCAAGCCTCTGTGGGGGCAGAATTCTGGGAAGAAGAAGTATCTAGAAGAACTAATTATTTCACCTATCTCTTTAGCATGGCTTAAGGTGAGCCCATCTTCATAGGGGTGGTCCCTTAACGGTCATTTCTCAAGCACAGTGGTGGCTGTGAGTATGGATATCCTGATGAAGAGTCATAAACTGTGCCTTGGTTTCCCTCAGCAGCCCAGTCCACTGCCCCTGATGGCTTCTCTACCAGAGGCAGACGGTGCAGCCATGCTCCCCAAAGGAATTGGTTTCCTGAGTTGTGGTCAGGGTACAAGGATGGTCCATCCAATGGCGAAGGGATTCAAGAAGGAGAATACCGAACCCATGCTTTGTGAGATCTGCGATATAAGGTTGTGGTGGACCAGGAGACCCTGGAGTCGTAGCAGCTGTTCAGGACCAGCGTGCACCAGAGAGACCCCGGTACCCAGGCAGATGCCAGACAGCCAGACTTCCCAGCATAGACATCCATCTGCCGTGACCCACCTGTTACCTGGCTGAGTCACCTGCAGCCTCGGCTGTGAAATGGCAGGGCTGGGCTAGAAGAACCCTATCATGTGACTGCAGAGGTATCTCTGAACCCGCTACGCTCCCTGCAAATCCCTACCCTGCTCTTTATTGCTTCAGGTTAGTGGGGGAAGCCACGTCATCCCTCAGCCCCTCAGTTTCCCCACTGTGTCCTGCTCGGGTTGTTACGGTTCTTGTTTGGTTTGGCTTCGTGGAGAGGGGGTGCACAGATGCATATGTCTGTTCCTGTGAGCATAGGCATATGTGTGTTGTGCATGAGTGCACATATGTGTGTACGTATGCGTGTGTCTGTGGAGGATCGAAGTCAACCTCAGTGTCTTCCTTAGTCACTTTCTACTTTGGCTTTGTTTGTTTGTTTGTTTGTTTTTGTGAGGGTTTTTTTCCTTCTTTTTTTAAAAAAATATTTTTTACGGTTTATTTAACTTTATTTTATGTGCATTGGTGTGGAGGTGTCAGATCCCCTGCAACTGGATCTTCAGACAGTTGTGAGATGTGGGTGCTAGGAATTGAACCTGGGTCCTCTGGAAGAGTAGTCAGTGCTCTTAACCACTGAGCCATCTCTCTAGCCCTTGTTTTTGTGTTCTGAGACAAGGTCTCTTAGTAGGGCCTGGGGCGCACCGATTTGGTTAGGTTAGCTGGTCAGCAGCCTTCAGGAATTTGCCTGTCTCTTCCTCCCCAGCTCTCCAATATTAAGTGTGTGCTGTCAGCAAGTCTGACTTTTTTATTGTATATGCTGGAAATTGAACACAAGTCCTCATGGTTGTGTAGCAAGGACTTTAATCGCTCTGAGCCACCTCCCCAGCTTATGCTCAGGTTGCGAGGTGACACTGTGCAGGTCCCCAGGTGCCTGGCATAGACAACAGATACCCTGTTTCTGGAGATGCCACACACAGGGTGGGGATTTAGGGCACTAGCATTCCTCCATCAGTAACTGCCCTTTGGGGGAACCCTGGCAGCTTTGGGATAGGATTGGAGGGTGAGGACCCTGAGCAGGAGGGAGGATGGGCACACACTTACCATCTCCCATCTGACTGGAGGATGGGCTCACTTCACTTGGTCAGGCCCTGAGGTAGGGGTTAGGAGATGGGTGGGGCTCTGGGCTTCCTGCCATCCTGAGCAATAGATCACTGTTCCCAGGACACACAGGAGTACCCCGAGATGTGGGTACATGCCCAGCAGAGATAGCTATCTCATCTCTCCACCAAACTTCCTCTGGAGGTGAGCTGCCAAGGGCCACATGAGCTGTCTCCTACACTACCCTTCCTGCATCCCCTCCCTTCGGCGCAGTGACCGTTGTCACCAAGACTATTACTTCTGGTAGGAGTGGGATAGGACAGTTGTATACTGGAACTGAGTTCTCCCTGAGGCATCCAGGCTGGGACAAGAACCTGGGGCCGACCTTGGAGCGCGGGGAGTCAAGACGACGCCCTCCCCACCCCGGACCATTCCACTGTGCTGCGCGTTGAGGGTGAGGAGCGCGGTGGTAGCGCCCGGCGCCGCCCCCGCCACAGCCACCCGCGCCAAGCGCTCCCGCAGGATGGCGCGGGCCAAGCTGCCGCGCTCACCGTCCGAGGGCAAGGCGGGTCCGGGGGATACCCCAGCCGGCGCTGCAGCCCCCGAGGAACCTCACGGGCTCAGCCCTCTGCTGCCGGCCCGCGGCGGGGGCTCCGTAGGCAGCGACGTGGGCCAGAGGTAGGGACGCTTGCGGGGGACCAGGACCCCGCGGGAGGGGCTTCGCATCGTTTGCATTTTGTCTAGCACGGGCTCTGCTCCCCTACACCTGGCTTTGCTTGTAGTAGCCTGGGAAGGGAAGAGGGCGCCTTGGCCCCCCACCACCCCTTGGCTGCAGCCTGGTCTGGGGAGACTTAGACCCTGGCCCCTTGCTTAGAGGCTGAACCCAGGGCCCTGCAACTATGACCTGGGCTCTGGTCCAGGTGGCCCTGGCCCACACTGCTCTAGGAAGTCCCACTTGGGTGAGTTCAGCAGGGGACACTATGGAGAGGTAGGTACTTCAGAGGTGAGCTTCTGAGACCCAGGCAGACTACTTGGAAAACTGGCTGGGGGACAGTAGAGGCATGGGCATGCTGAGCACCAGCATGGCTGGGCAGCCAGAATGCAGAAAGCTTTTGCATAAGGCAGCCCACCCTTTTCATCCTCCTGCAAGCTCCAGGCAGGATGTGACACCCCATTTCATGGATGAGGACACTGAGGTCTCTGCAGCAGCAAATCCCTAGCCATCACCTGCCTGTGCCAAGAACCCTGCTGCATGCTGCGGGGGAATGAAATGAATCAGACCTGGCCTAGTGTGGGCACGTTGTATTGTGGGCTTGAAGCCTGTTCTGGTAGCAGTTGGGGCAGGACTGGATGGGACCAGGCCAGGCAACTTCCTGGACACTGACTTTTAAGGATGAGCAAGAGCTGGCAGGGCTTTCTGAACAGAGGCATGGTGGAAATGCTGGGTAGGGTGGGGTGCCGGTGCTGGGTCAAGCCTGATGGGTTGGCAGTGGCTGGACCCAGCAGATGGCTGGACTAAGGTCATCAGAGCACCCCCCTTCTTCCCTTGCCTCCCCCATTTGTACCAGTTTCCTGCTTCTCACATGGGAAGGGTGATGCCACCCTGTTCCCATTTGCCAGAAGCAGCTCTTGAGGGGCCTCCCACAGCTGATGGGAAACTCAGGGCAAGAGGATAGCCAGTGCTGCTATCCTTGGGGACCCCCTCTTGGCCTCTCCCTCCTCTTAGTGGACACTGTGGGCCAGTGATCCCGGAAGCTTCCTTCCCAGCCTATCAGGCCCCAGGAGAAGTAAGCTGTGGGTATGGAAATTCTGCCCAGGCTGCGTCTTAGTCCAGATTGTGACACTTCTGTGGCCACCTCTTTTCCCATTTGCACTTCTGCATGTAGGCCCTTGACTCTAGACCACAAGCTGAGCTGCTGGCCCCTTTGACAAGCATGGCCTTTCTCCCTGACTCTCAGGGTCCTTGTCAGCCTCCTTCTGCAGAGCAGAGAGAAGGGAACTGTCTACCCAGCTGGGCCCAGGTGGCGCCTGAGCCTTTAGCTGGCATCTGAACACCTGCTGTGACGAGCAGTTGGGAGCCAAGGCAGATCCCAGCTGAGGAGGATGGGGAAGACTGACTGACTGACACATTAGGAACCGGGGTTACTGAAGTTTCCAGGCAAGATCGTGGGCCGTGACTTGCACTTGCCCCTGTCCTATGTCTGGGCTGTTGTCCAGAAAGTTAGAGCCTGGTTGCCTCTCTACCACTGGGAAGGCAGCGGGGCAGAGAGAGGAGAAAAGTATCTTCATGGCCCCCATGCATGCCCACATAGTCCCTGAAGCTCTGCACTTTCTCATAGCAGGCCTGGTGCCCGTTCCTCTTCCTCGCCCAACCTGACCCTTCTTTCTCTGCCTCCCACTGAGGTTTAGAATGGTTAGGAAATGTGGGCTGTGGAAAGGGGGCTCTATTCCAAAGCTTTGGAACCCAGGAAGGGCTGGGTCATTAGTGAACCTCTCAATAGGTCAGGGGCTGGGACGCCTTCTACAACTCTGGGTTCACTTGACTTGAGTCTGCCATTGAGGCATTCCCACGTGTCTGCTATGTGGACGCCCCCTCACCCCATCTGCTTCCTCAGGGACCGACTGAGGCAGTGAGAGGTGGAAGGAGGGTGCATGCCCAAGGAGAAGTAGCTGGGAGGCTAGGGGGTGAGGCAGAACCTCTGCACGGGCAGGTCAGAGGCCACCCCTGAGCTATGTCCACGGGGCTGGGACTGGAGGTCGACTGGAAGGGACAGAAGGCAGAGACATCCTAGAAAGTGTCCCTAGTGGCATATGCTGGGAATCTCTGAAGGCTCCGAGAGACATGTCACTGGTGTATTTTATAGCAGGTAGCAGGACCAAGAGAGCAGATGTCCTGGATGGCTGTGGTGGCTGTGTTGTGGGTAGAAGGCTACAAAAGGACGTAGGAGGTGAGCCCAGGGAACACAGTTTTGGCAACCTGGGTTTGTGGGGTCTCCACATTCCAGGAAGAGGAAGGGGTTTGAGATTCCTGCAGATGCTGCCGCAGGGAGGTTCGGGGCTAAGCATCGTCTATCCTTTGGCATCCCTGGGGTCTTAATGTGAAGGTGTAGAGGTGGGGAGAGCCGAAGGTGCTAGAATGGAGTTGGGGTAGGGCCTGATGGATGGTGCAGAGGCTTGGCTTGGCCAAGGCCGGTTTTCCATCCCTGAGGCTCCAGAAAATGTCCACTTGCTTTGCTGCATCCCCCCAGGGTCTACACTGGGGTCACCCCTTTGAGCCTATACCAGAGAGAAACTCGCAATCCCCTAAGGGCAGACACCAGAAGGGACCTCCCATCAGAGCATGGCTCAGGAGTAGAGGCTGGGGCAAGGGTGCCAGGAATCCCCCTTCCCAGTGGCACCCCAGCCTGCTTCTGACTGGGCCGGTCTAGGACCAACTCTCTGCTTTACTTCTGAGCTGAGTCTGCCCCATACCTGTATACCCACCACAGCTCCCCTAAAGCCAAGGGTGCTGAGGACCAAGACCCCTACCTCATGGCTTTGTGACCCATCCCCAGGACCTTCTAGGCCCTGGTCTTCAGCCTTCTTCCCAGCCAGCCCACGTCTACCTCAAACCTGCACTCTGAGATGCCGTCTTGGCGCCCCCTGACACCACCTGCTTCCTGACCATTCACTACCTCAGCAGGGACATGACTTCACACTCTGTGACTTCAAGTCTCTCAGCAGCCAGACTCTGGGTCCGCTCCATTCCCAGGCTCTATTCCTAGCCATCATAGGTCAGTGGCTCCCCCACCAAGCCCGAGGCCTTCGCACAGCAGTTTCTCAGGCTCAAACATCACCTTGATATTCTCCTGAGAAGTCCCAGCCTGTCGGCTCAGCTTCAGGGAGCCGAATCTCTCCCCATCCCCAGCTTCCTTCACCCTAGTATTCTTGGGCCCAGGAGGCAATCCCTTGGATCTTCCTTGCTGGGATATCCTTGTCCTCCATGTCCAGAAGCTCATAGGCCCCACAACCCTTCTGGATCATGGACCCTCCCCTGCCCCACCAAGTGACTCGACTGAATAGCCTTCATACAGCACCCCTCACCCTTTCTAGGCTCTCAAGTGCCTCACTCTCCACTCTGGCAGTTGGATACACCCCAACTTTACGTACTGCACCCCACTGCTCACCACAGATGGTACTCTATTGCTTCTGTGGTTACCGGTTTATTCCACTCTCTCCTCCTTCCCAGTATGCTTATCTGGACAGTGATTTATCCTCTTGGCATATACGTGGGTATAGGGCTCCAGTATGGGGTGCACTCCTTCCTGGTCCCTCTAACAGACACAGGTTTCCCTTTTTAAGTGTGTTGAGCTTGTGGAGGCTGTCACAGACTAGGGGGTGGAAACCATATAACTTGATTTTCTCGTGGTTTCGGGAGCTGAATGTGGGCAGCCTGCTCCAAGGCCCCTCCCACACTCTGGCCATCTTCCCCATGTAGTCACACAATTCTCCCTCTCTGTCCCTCTCTGTGACTTGAGTCTTGAACTCTTCCTACTGGTATACTAGCTAGTCTGTGTGGGGTCCACCATAAGACCCCATTTCAACTTAATGTCTGCAGTTTTTCCCTAATATAGTTACCTTACACCCTGATCTTACAGGAGTCATGGCTATAGCCTGTAAATCTGGAGGATACAATCCAGTGAAGAATAAGTGGGCTCCTTATTTGCTTGTAGGAACCTCCCTGACATGAAATTAATTATCTGAATACCCAAAAGCATCCCCTGAGATTCAGGGTTCATGGGGTGCAGTGAGAAGTGGACGCCCAAATACCCTGACCTCCCATCAGCCCAGAGGACCCCCAGAAAGGTGCCTAGCTGAGCTTGCCCCTTTAGGGTTCAAGTCGGGTATACCTATGTCTACCCAAAGGCTCCTGTGAGAGCCCCAGACTCTGAAGAGAGCAACAGGCTATGGGTACAGAAAGGAATCCCAATTGTAGTCATTTATTCTGTGTCCATGCTCCATAGGGCTGTCATGCTGATGAGGGAGGCTTAGTGGTACCTAGGTTACTAGTTGCAGGCATAGAAACCACCGTTTGGATGTTTCAGGTGAACCTTCCTTTATCCCCACCACTTCCTATCCTTCGAAGCACCCCTGATAGGTAGCTCAGATGACTGACCTCATATTCCCTGGCACCAGCCCTTGGCAGAGTGTGCATCAATCTATGATGCCCTGCTGCCTATACACAGGCCATTGTCCTTTAAGGGACAGATCTGAACCAGGTAACACGACAGTGGGGATGTAGCCTCTCCAGAGTACAGTGGAGTCACCTTGTCCCAGCCTCAGGCACCCTGTACATGCAGCATGGCTCAGGAGCCCAAATGGTGCCCATGCAGATGGGAGTTGGTCTGACCTAGGGAGCAGATCTGGATTATAAGCATCAGGCTTGGTCCTCTGTGCTAGGTGCCACATGATCCTATCCCCATCATAGCAAACCACAGCTCTGCCAGGTTCTTCAGACCCTTATCTTAGATCTTGGGGCAGAGATGGGGCCAGGAAGAGAATCTCAGCTACACAAACAGGCAGGGCATCTGGAAGCTCCCAGAAATCCCCAAACTTCACACCCAATTAAACCTGGACTCGCCTCAGCTGTACCGAGGTGTCCATCCATTGCCATACCAGTGGGGACCTTGACTCTGCCAAGTGTATGCCCATCCTATACCTTCTCCACCCAGGGACCAGGAGGGACCACATATTGGAATGTGGAAAAGGATCCTGGCCTCACAGATGTCCCAACACAGGTTATACAGGATGCTGCCTGAGGTTCGCAGTGATCTTCACTGAATCTTTGTTTTCTCATCTGGAAAACAGTTGCTTTGAAAACTGAGAGAGGCCCCAATGAAGTCCTTGGTTGGAGGGGCTGGCCCAGGACAGCATGCAGTAAGCTCCCAACACAAGCTGGCACTCCAGAGATGCTGACCCCTTCTCCGTGGCAGGGAGTCTAGGGAAACTCAAGGCCAGGTTGTCCAGAGCTGACCAGGTAGAGGAGTGACCTCAATCAACACCAGCTCCTGGTCCTGACCTGCTCAGCTACAAGAAACCAAGAGATAGGCCATCCAAGGTTTCCTGTGCCCAGCTGTGACCCTGTAGCAGGACTACTCAGTTGTCTTCAGCGTCCTCGGTGACAATGCTGCTGGAGGGGCCACTGCTGGACACGGGGTCACAAAGAGGCCGGAGACAGGCTTAACATGAATGAGAGAGAGGCCTATCTTCATCTCTTGGCTAAAAGATTGTCACTTGCTCTGGCCAGAGTACAGAGCCTGCATGTGCCAGCATCTAAGGACTCTGTTGCTTTCTCCAGTTCCGAGGGTAGGCCTGGCTTCTACCTGCCTTGCATGCTAGGCTGCCTGCCCTGACACTACCTGTCATGCCTGGAACTTCTGGCATACCCCGTTGCTCTGGGATACTGCCTGAAGTCCTGATAGGGCCCTGGAGCCCCACCTACCGTCTGTGTTGATGTGCCCACTCTGTCTCCAGGCTTCATGTGGAGGATTTCAGCCTGGACTCTTCCCTCTCTCAGTAAGTGCTTCACAGGGGAGGGACTGTCTCGGGGACAGATGTGTCATCGTACCCCTGAGAATCAAGCCCCATTGGGAAGGCTACTCTTGCCCAGTATTAAGGGCCAACAACCAGGTAGAACCATAACAGTGCTGGCCAGCACTTCCCAGGACCAGGTGCTTCTGGGAACTGGAGACATATGATTAATGATCCCCTTGGGAAGAGTATGTAGAGAGGAAATGGGCTCCCCAGAGGTGGATGACTGTCTTAGTTACTTGTCTATTGCTGTGATAAGACACCACAACCAAGGCAACTTTATAAAAGAAAGAGTTGATTGGGGATTACAGTTTCAGAGGGTAGAATCCGTGACCGTCATGGTGGGGGAGCATGGCAGCGGGCAAGCAGGCAGGCATGGTGCTGGAGCAGTAGCTGAGAGCTTCCATCTGATCCATAAGCATGAAACACATAGAGCTAGCTGGAGAGGGTGAGCTTTTGAAGCCTCCTCCAACAAGGCCACGCCTCCTAATCCCACTCCTCCTCCCCAGGAGCCTCGGACCTGGCAATGGTGGGGAAGCAAGAACCTGTCTGTGGCTGCCCTAGGGCTGAGGCTGTGTCCATGTTGCCCCAAAGCCAGCACCAATCATGGTAGATGTCCTAAGCTCCTCAGAGAGCCCTGGGGTTCCAAGAAAACTCCCTTTGCAGGGGAGTTAGTTTGAGAAGCCAGTGCCCATTTTCCCAGGCCACATCGGATCCCTTCTCTCAGTTTCCCAGGTGGAGCCTGAAGACCCATACCACGCCAGCTCAACTCTACTGCCTGCCCCCAGGCTCTGTGAGGCTGAGGCCTGGAGTGTTGGAGGGGGCCTTCCTGGGGAGTTCGTCTATGTGGGATACTATGAGGGCTGTGAGTCCACCTGGTCCTCCAAGAAGAATTCAGAGCCACAGAAGGGTGCCACAAATGGAGTTCTACTGAACTCTCCTGGAGATTATGAAGGCTTTGGGGTTGTGGGGGCATTGGATCTCTTCCCACTTGGCTGGCCCTCTGCAGATGCAAGGAGGAACAGGTTTGAGTTGCCCCTGGCAGCCTGTTCTGGGCCCTTTTTACTCACTCACCCAAGAAGTCAATACCAAGGCTGTACCCTCTAGCTTCTCAGTAAGGTTGCTTCAGCTCAGACTCGTGGTTGAGCCAATACACGATCCAGAATCTGTGGGCATGGCTGGTACGTATGCAAACAGGCTCTGATTTTGCAGTGTGATGCACCTAACAATGTAGGCTGAGGTGGCTTTCTGGTTGCATTAACTTTGACCCCCACACCAGCACCATGAGGTGCTAGTCCTGGCCCCCATACCCATTATCTCTCACTGTATCCTCTCTCTGGGCTCGTTCCCAAGGGACACTGCAGGACACGTCTTAACCTCACCTTTGCTAAAGCACTTACATTTTCCAGGTACTCAGTGATACTATCGGAGGAAGCTCCCATTATTGTTCCCATCCCCAGTAGGAAACTAAGCTAAAAGCAGGAGAGAGGCAGAGCCTGCATCTGTCCGACTTCCCAGTGGGCACTGGCTCTCAGTCCTTAGGTTCTGCCTGCTGGGCCAGCGCAGTTTCTATGACTCCCAGGAGCTTCCTACAGGCCCAAGAGTGCCTGTGAACAGGCTCTGTAAGAGGAGAAGGTCATTCACAAACCCCTTATGCTCCTGTAGGACTGTGCCCCGGGTCTTCATCTCTCCTTAGGGCAGATCACACATGCTGTCTTAAACACAGATTGGAGTGAAATGGATCGTCTTAATCCCTGCTTTGTGTGCTGCTAGAGGAAGTGAGTGGCCACAGTTTATCAAAAATTTAAAAGTAAAGGAGGACTCATTGATTTCTCTGGCACTGTAGAGCTCTGATTTCAAAGGAGCCAAGCAGGCCTTATGGCTCCTCCAGGAGAACACCTTCAGCCATAAGTGGGCACTGCCCACAAAACACCGGGGACCATGCCAATGGGTGTTGGCAGCCTAATGGGCAGCCCTTCTGGGAGGTAACTGTTCTGCTCATGGGTGTCATTAGTCAGGTCAGCTTTCTGGAGCTGGGGTGGGGGATGCCAGCAAGGGCTGGGTGTGACAGGTTCCTGAATGTTCCCTGAGCAACACAGTGGCCATGGTGGCTTCTTTCATAGGTGACTGAGTTTTCTGGTCTCAAGATGCTCCTGGGAAGATGACAAGGACAGGAGCCTGGAGAGTGGAGTTGGAAGTGGTTATGGGCATGGGGTGGAGGACTGGGTACTCAGGAGACCTGTGGGGCAGTGTGCAGGCACAGTTGGGAAGCAGCGGGGGATGTCCAACTGGAATGTCCCATGAGAATGTCTAGTGAGATGGGGCAGCAGGGTGCAGGGACAGAGGGAAGGTCAGGGTTCTGTCCGTTCTTCCAGGGACAATGGGGACCCTAGGAGGACTCCAAGCCTGTGATAGGGGCTCTAGCTACAAGAAGAGCACACAAGTGCTTCCCCAGTGAATCCTGGGACATCTGTGTCTAATGGGGTAGGAGAGGAGGCATGGGAGGCTCTGCAATGGATAATTCTACCCAAGGGGAGTGTGTTAGTCCATAGACTGCTGAGTAACAGAGAGGGAGCTTATGCAGCTCAGGTTAGCCCAATGCCAAGGGCCACATCTGGTAATAATCATTTTGCAGACAGAGATCAGAGGTGGTCTCAGGCATCCCACATGGCAGGAGCTGGAGCACACCTGTCTCTTAAGTTACCCTTTGTCTAGAAAGCCACCAGGACTGACTGTGGGTTCTTCCCTAGAGATCTTACCTAATCCTAACCCCTCAACACACACACACACACACACACACACACACACACACACACACACAGCTGTATTTAGTTCCTATCTTCTTCCTGCCTCTTAGCGATGAAGCTCTTAACATGTGACACCTTATAGACACTCCCTCCTGTCTATACTGACACAGAATCGCAACGGGCAGTGAGTAGCCAGCCCGGCTACTGGGGAATACCCACGGCAGGTGGAATTTAGTGCTCCCATCTGGCAGGTTGCAGAAGCCTCCTGTCACCGCCCCTGAGGCCCCCACATTTAGGGGTGGCACGGGAGTGGAGCCAAAGATAGGGGAGGGGAACCACAGTTTATCAGAAAGGCTGTGGTCTGTGCTGTATGGGAGATGGAGAGAGACTGCCGCCTTGTAACCTTAACAAAGGTCCTGGTCACCTGCTGAGGGTCCTATTGGAGCGGGACGGGGGGCTGAGCAAGTGGGGAGACTCTTCTTTGAGTCCTTTATTGTAGAGGAGGTGGGTGGAGAGGAGAGCGATTCTAGAACTTCATACATGCCTTTAGGATACAGGTGATCCTTCAAGCCATCCGATGACTTCCCTGCCCCCACCCCTGTGCAGCCTGTCTCCCTAGCCTCAGGCTCCTTCCGAGAGAAAGGTGCACAGCTGGCTCTTCAGTCATGTACAGTATCCTCTCCTGCCTGGAGCTCCTAGCGCCCTAGAAAGACCCTGTGCTTCCATGCAGTGTGTACAGCAGGGTGCTGTGGGGATACAACGGTGGTACGCTGGATAACATGGGATGCAGAGGTGTACTGTAGCATAGGGGGTGTGCTGAACAGTGTGGCGCATGGAACTTGCTGGTGTGCAGAGTCGTGTGTGCGGCATAGCGGGTGATGTGTGCTGGGACAGCAGAATGTACTGAGGTGCAGTGAGGATGCTGGGTAAAGTGGAGTTTAGACGTATAGAGGGAGGGGCTAGAGCACACCAACCATTAGCACGGGGCTGGCCCCTCCCTGCCTACAGGAAGCTTGGCTTGCTGTGCAGTCCAGGGTGGACCCAGTCTTTGCACAGCACCAAACCCCAGGAGCGCCTTGGTTCTGGTGAGGTGAGCAGGCCCTTGGGCCCTCAAGCAACCCTGTGACCTGCAGAGCCACTGTGACCCAGGCCACGGGCAGGTCACATGGCAAAGCGGCTGTGCATACAGCGGTCTGAACTCAGTAGGCTTCAGGGAGTGATTCGATTTTAAAAAATATTTTTATTACCCTTGTTTATTTATTTGGTGTATGCTTTTTTGGGGGCATGCATGTACCACAGCATGCATGTGAAATATTAGTTGAAGATGTGTTACATTCGTTCATGCTGTGGAGTGTTTGTTTAATGATGCAAAGATATGTTGCACATTCTTCTATGTTGCATTTGCTGAACTCTGTGAAGCTGTGCTATTTTGCCTGCCTGCAGCACCTGATTGCTCTAATAAAGAGCTGAACGGCCAGTAGCCAGGCAGGAGAGGGAAATAGGTGGGGCTGCCAGGCGGAGAGAATACACAGAAGGAAAAGAACGTAAGAGGGGGAGCAAAGAGGAGCAAGAGGAGGAAGCAAGGGGCCAGCCACCCAGCTACACAGCCAGACACGGAATAAGAAGGAAAGAAAAGATATACAGAAATAGAAAAAAAAAGGCCCAGAGGCAAAAAGTTTGATGAGATAATTTAAGAAAAGCTGGCTAAAAATAAGCCAAGCTAAGGCCGGGCATTTATAAGTAATAATAAGACTCCGTATATTTATTTGGGAACTGGGTGGAACAAAGAGAAAGAAAGAAAGAAAGAAAAGAGAACTACAGCTGAGAGATAACTTACCGTAGTCAGTTTTCTCCTTCTACCATGTGGAACCCGGGATCCAGTTCAGGTCGTTGGGCTTGGTGACAAGTGCTGTCACCCACGAAGCCATCTCACCGACCTGATAGTGACCATCGAAAACACTCTGGGTGCTACTGGAATAGCCATCCCCAGCCAGGCACTGACATCAAACTCTCCAACTGTCTTGCCGAGCCAGTACCTGTTCAAAGGAAAATGATGTTCCGGATCCGCCCCCCTGGGCTCGGTGCCGCCTTCCCCAGCGGGGGCGGGGGGGGGGCGGGGGCGGGGTAGAAACAGGGATCCAAGCTGTTGTTTGTCTCCTTTGCTGACTTCTCTATGCCCTACACGACCCTTGCAGGCAGCAAGACATGCTGTCCCTCTGCCCTTCTGCCTCGTGATCCCACCCTGCGCTATGGTCCCTGGTGCTGTGTCCTACCTCATTCCTTCCTGGGGGAGCTTCTGTCTGTTGGGGAGATGCTGAGGTCGTTCTGATAGAAGCCACGTGTCCAGGGAGCCCCGTGTCCATCACGGCGAGCCATGGACCATTCAAGGGCACACGAGAGGGAAAATGCTGCATGCTGACCACACCTGCTACAGGAGTCCAAGCTGATGCAAGCTCCAGACTCAGACTTGCGTCATCCTTCCCCTGTCGGCACTGGCGTTTTCATCTCCTACTCCTGAAGGGGATGGGCAGGGCATAGGATTATGTCTGCAGCTTGGGGATTGAGAACAGCGGCTTTGTCTTCCCTTCGCCACAGAGTGATTCTCAGTGAACAAGTGGCTCTTCCTGGGTGTGGCAATGGGGCATAAGCGAGTAGCCAGGTGCTCACTCTCTATTTACCCTGGGTGATCTTAGGACTTCAGAGAATGTAAGTGTGGCCACGCCTCAGAGACTGGCCTCTGTGTGCAGTGCCATGGGAGGGGGAAGATGGAGGTCAGAAAGCTGATGGCCAGGCTCACAGGATGACTACTTCTTGCTGGCCCTTCTGACCATCCCTGAGATTATAATGGTTGGTCTCAGAATACAAACTCTGGAGGCCACCAGAAGAAATGACTGTCAACTCCTGAACATTTTACTAAGAAGATTTGAATACCCAGTGCCCAAAGCTCCATGGGTGCTGTGGCCCTGATCTCCTCGGGGCCTGGAGAGCTCTGGATGCTGAGCAGATGGTACCCAGTGGCTGCAGGTGTAGCAAGGGGAGGTTGTGGGAGGATGAATGGCTGCTTCACACCACAGACCTTCAGGGTCCAAAGTAGGGACATTTGTCTCTCCCAAGTTCCTCTCTGCTCCTGTGGTTTGAAAGAACTCAGCTGGGCTTGGGACTCTGGCTCTGGCTTGAGGCTCCAGCCCCTGCCTTGGGCCTGAACCCCCTGACCCTAAGCCTCAGCTTCCTCTCCTCCCTCAGGGTCCAGGTGGAATTCTATGTCAATGAGAACACCTGCAAAGAGAGGCTCAAGCTGTTCTTCATCAAAAACCAAAGATCCAGTGAGTCAGGGGCCTGGGGGAGGGGGATGGGCAGGTTGGGAGCCTGAGAAAATGTGCCATCTGCATAGGCATAGGGCAGAGGTCAACTTGACTTCCCGTTTTCTGACCTGTGAAGACATGACCTCCCCCATACTGGACACTGGGTTGAACTGGGCTAGGCTGTCCCCAGGAGCCAGCTGGGGCCATCTCCCGTGTCACCCAACCCACACCCTGGGAATCCCCACCTCCACACTTCCCCGACTCCTTCCCAGCTTGAAGCTTGGCCACTCTGGACCTACCTGAGATGCAAGACGGGGCTTGGAAGTTAGGCTGTGGCGCCAAGTGTCTAAATCTGTTCCCACGAGGGAAGCACCCTCAGGAAATCCCCTGCACCCCAAGCCTCTGCACCGAGCCTCAGTGACCAGAGGAGTCTGCCTGGGGAAGGGGTACCGACGCATCTGTCCTCTGCATCCGGAATACAAGTGCAAGAGATGGAAGTTCATGCAGGGCCCCTCAGGAGAGAGCTGTTGAGAGACCCCAGCAGAGCAGGTAGGCCTGCTCCTTGCAGCTCCTAACCCTAGTGTCACCCTCTCCACAGGCCTGAGGATCCGGCTGTTCAACTTCTCCCTCAAGCTCCTCACCTGCCTGCTGTACATCGTCCGTGTCCTGCTCGACAACCCAGACCAGGGCATCGGATGGTGGGTGACCTGGCGGGGCTGGGGTCCTCAGACTGAGCCTTTCCAATGATCCTCACTGGTATTATGGGCGTTCGTGTGGAAGACCTGTGACCAACACTCCACCAGACTTCTAGGGAGCCCTGTCCCCAGAGCTTTGGAAGTCTTATTCCCCTAGTGTGACCCCAGCATAGAGCCATGCCCAGACACCACTCAGTCAGGCCTAGAATGATGGCGGGGCCCCCAGTGTGGAGCTGTGCACGCAGTCACAGTGTGTGTTCTAACCACCTTGAGGAAGAGGTCTCTGCTGTCAAGTGGGCTTAGAGGACCCAGCAGACGAAGCTGAGGATTCTTCCTCTGGTGTCTTCTCGGTAATCCTCCCACTGCCTGGCTGCTTTGAGACGTCAGTGCTGTTTCCCAGCCCAGATCCTTGCAGGGTGTCATTGTCTTCCCTGAGAGCTGCCGGTCTCTCAGTGCCTGGGAAGGCCTTGGCATGCGTCTGGTTCATCTCTGGACTGGCCCAGAAGCCCTCAGTGCCAGGATTGTCTTGAAGTGTGCCCCGCGGGGTTCGGAAGCTGGGCCCTGGGCCACGGGCGTGCTTGTCACTCCTACCTCCTACTCTGTCCCCTTTTATCCTCTCAATTCTATTCTGGGGTGACACTCTTCCCCCAGGTCTGAGTTCCTGCATCTGTCACTTCCTGGTTTCCCACAGCCCTCGGAGGATGCTGTACTTGGCCCTTCACTTTGTTAGTGACTTTGGATGAGACGATTTCTTTTGAACTTTGTTGGCCTCTGACTAGCATGCCAGTGGGTTTGACAAGTGGGCTCAGATGCCACAGGACTCCTTAGTCAGAGCCGGGAGTTTGAGGGCCACTGCTGGGCCAAACATGAACCCTGCCAACACTGACTTACTTCTTGGGCTATACAGAGCAGGCTCTTCCTGAACTGCTGAGGTCCTGTAAATCTCTAGGCAGGAGACCAGCCCCTGGAGCCTGTGTGCGAAGTTGTACTGAATTCCTTATTCTCATCCGTTGCCCACTTTCAGGAAAACTAGAATTCCCAGCTCAGAAACCCTCACGTGCTGTTGAGAACAAACCTTTTATCACTACACAGGTCAGAGGAAGGAAGATCCCTCCGTGGCTGTTTGAGGGAAAATAGAGGCTATAGCTGACTCAAAACACTCTCTTCTGGGTCTATTACACCTTTTCCAAGCCCCCAAGGCTTCAGGACTTCCGCTTCCACCTCCCTAGAGGACCCAAGTCTGTTGAATTCATCACCATCACTAGCAGGGATAATGGGCTGTGGGGTGGGTAGATGATGAATATTTGGGTGATGGACAGATGGGTGAATGGTGCATAGCTGTACACCAGATGGGTAGATGGATGGATGGATGCTTGGGTAGTTGAATAGATGGGGGCGAGATGCTGAGTAGATGTTAGAGAAGAGGGTGCATAAGGAGATAGATTCAGGAATTACAGATCAGGTGATGATGGATGCATGGACCAAGGATGAGATTATACCTAGGTAGTCATATGGATGAATGTCGATGAGAGATGAATGGATGGATGTTGGATAGAATGATGAGCACAGGTAAATGGATGCATGGGTCATAGATCAGATGATGATGGATAATAGATAGGTGATGCACAGACCGTAGATGAGGCAAAGGATGGATAGGTGAGTGATTGCTGATGAAGGATAAGTAGATGGATGTTGGGTAAGAGGCTGAGAGAAAGGCTCAGAGACTTCTGTGGGTACTGAGTGCAACAACCCCAATAAAGCTCAGATGAGGTGAGGACAGGGTAGAAGTGGCCCCTTTCTGGGTTCTGTGAGCAGTGAGGTCCCTGTGGTAGCTGACCCTGGTGCTAGTTATGGCCTGGAGCAGAGCTAGAATGCTGGCTGTACCCTGCTACCTCTCATCAGATGTTTCCAAGGTGCTTGGATATGCTTCAAGTGGTTTGGGAGATGAAGGTCATTTATTCATCGCTTTCTGACTCTCAAAAACTATCCAGGCTGGTTCAGGCAGCTCCGACCTCCAGCGGGCATCCGTGTCACACTGGGCCATCTGTGGTTGTACAGGAGCTTGTCACTGGCTCAGGCTGAGTCTTCACTTTCTCCTGAGCAGCAGCTCACTGCAGGGCCCAGACCTCTAGACAGGGATGTGTTCTCTATGCTTCTTGTTTCAAGAGCCTCCTCACGCGGTCAGGGCAGACCAGGGAGGTCCCGCACATGCTAGAGCATCAGCTCCAGTCGGGGCATTCGGTGGGCCCTGAGTGAGCAAGTGGGTGCCCTTCCCATTTTCCCTGAGCCCATAGCAGCTCTGGAAAGGACCCTTGGCATTGGTCCTGGAGGTCTGGGACTGGGCCAGTGCTTCTGTCTCTTCACAGCTGGGGCTGCACGAAGTATAACTACACTTTCAATGGCTCATCCTCCGAGTTCCACTGGTGAGTTTGCTCCTGGCTCCCATTTATCAGGGCCATACTGGGCCAGGCCAGGAACGGGGTTGTCAGGTGTGGTCTGTGGGAGTTTAACTGTCTGGCTCTAGTGGAGCCAATGCCCACCTGAGGTCCATTAAAGTCCCTGGGATACGTTCAGCTGCACCCTTGCATCCTGGATGAATCAGCACCGAGGATCTTCCCCATCAGAGAGGAGGAATTTTGAATGAAGCACATGTTCCTCCACTCACCCTCCGCATCTGGCTAGTGGACCCTCACTACCTTGGGAATATTCTTCTGGAGCCTGAACAGGAAGTGCCCTGACAGCTGTCACCCTGTCAGGGCCTCACTTCCCTTTTTTCCGTAGGGCTCCCATTCTGTGGGTGGAGAGGAAGATGACTTTGTGGGTGATTCAGGTGAGTCCCAGTCTACCCCTCCTCCCTGCACAATGGAGGTTGCTTGTGTGGACTCAGGAAGGAGAGGGCTTGGGTTAAGTAAGAGAACATAAGTCCTATCAGCAAGTAAGGGCCTCGGGCTCACCCATGAAGCAAGGGACTTAGGCCCAGTAAGGCCTGACAACTCTTACTGTAGTTTTCCTGGATCACTGAGGGCATACTTTCCCCCTTCATTTCTTTCCTGATTAGAACCTCTCCGCCCTGCTGACCCACCCTATCCTTAGTGTCTTCCTGGGAAGTAGGTAGGGGTCAGAAACTCAGGCCAGCTTCTGAGGGAGTCTTCCCCAACTATGTGCCAGAGGCCTAGGTCCCTAGCCTGGAGGATCCCATAGGACTCACAGATGCCTGTAGTGGAGGCTCCATCCCTACCCAGGGCCCAATGAGTACTGCCAACCGAGCCTCATGCCCTCTCTGCCACCTCTACCTCCTAGGGTGGCTTTAGTGATGCTCTTCAGGTTTCTACCACCCCCCTACTTCATTGGCCCTGATTGTCCACAGGGTGCCCCAGCAGGGCAGGAATGGAGTGAGTCTGGGGTCTGGGCTGCCTTCTACCGATCCTAAGGCCTAGAGTAGCTGCCTACAAGTCTTTCCAATCAAGACCATCTTTCTTCAGCAGCAAGGGTACAGGCAGTCCTGTGTATACACACACACACACACACACACACACACACACACACACACGCTCACACGCTCACACGCTCACACATACAAGCACCCAGCTTTGTCAGGCCCTGTTCCCAGATCTGCTCCGAGTCTCTTTCCTTTCTTCACGCAGGTCATTGTGGCCACAATAAGCTTCTTAGAGACCATGCTCCTCATTTACCTCAGCTACAAAGTGAGTGGCTCCCTGTATCTACCCCGCCCTGGTTTCCCACCAAGCCCTTTCTCTACAGCCCCTCCCTTAGCACCTATGATCTAACTCGGGGACTGCCCACTCCCAACCCTTACCTCTACCTACCTTCCAAGCTCCCAGTTCCCTTCCCTGCCCCTGACCGACCCTTGCTGGCTCTGAAATACCTCTGGCCCCCAGGGCAACATCTGGGAGCAGGTCTTCCACGTTCCTTTCATCCTGGAGATGATCAACACTCTGCCCTTCATCATCACGGTGGGTGAGCCCCAGCCCCAAGCTCGGCTACCCATGCCCCACCTGACCTCTCCCCCACACACCACAGGTCTTCTGGCCACCTCTTCGGAACCTGTTCATCCCCGTGTTTCTCAACTGCTGGCTGGCCAAGCACGCGCTGGAGAACATGATCGTAAGTGAGCACTGGCCCCTGCAGGCTCCTAGAGAACAGTTTCCCCACCTGCTGGCGGGACCAGGCCGTGGCCAGGAGATGCCTGCCACGTGACACATTCCAGTCCAGTGTGAGCTTCCTCTTTCCCTGAAGACAGCTTTCCCAGGGCTGAAGAGAAGGTAGGACAGAGTGTGCAGATGTGAGTAAGCACAACCAGATTCAGGCTGCAAAATCAGGACTGGAAGAATGCAGGCTCCGACTATCCCTATGGCCAGCCTCTGCTGGAATACACCCGTCTCCTGGAAAGAAAAGCCAGGATGACAGCTGTCTCCCGGGTGGCCTGGACCTTCCTGGCCAGATCCCTTGACTCAGCTCTGTCCCACTTGCACAGTGATGTAAGAGTCTTGAAGCCAAAGATGCTCACACCTATCTGCCCTCTGGCACATTTTGCTCATCCTGAGACCAAGCTGAGGTCCGTGTGACCAACACAGGGCAATGTTGCCCCTAGCCCTCCCCTGGGAAGGAACTATAACCAGGTCTCTGCTTATTATGTGTGGGGGCGCCTATGGTTCCTGCCTTCTGATGGCTGCATTCTCTGCAGAATGACTTCCACCGTGCCATCCTGCGCACACAGTCAGCCATGTTCAACCAGGTGCTCATCCTCTTCTGTACCCTGCTGTGTCTCGTCTTCACGGGGTGAGTGCCCTACACACCACATGGTCGCATCAGGTAGCCGTGGCTAGCCCACTCCGCTGGAAGACCGCAAGCCTAGAAGACAGATCAGGGGCGGTGACAGAAGGGTCACAAAGATCACTGTAGAACTTAGCTCCAGATTCTCATGTCCGGAAATCAGGGACACAGTGGTACAACATCAGACCTGCAGGTGCCTGCCCAACTGGCTAGGTTTGCAATTCAGAAGGGAACTGGCCCCTGGGCTGAGCGTGGGCCCTTTGGTTTGATGTCCATCTGAGAACGGAGTCTAGAAGCAGCCAGGGTCTCTTGGAGGGTCACTTAGAGTGGGGAGCTTCTGGTCACATGGGCAGACCTTCCAACCTCCTGCATCTGCCTGTGGAGTGGCCCTGTTCCATGTCCTCAAGAGGTTCAGTCACCCCTGCTATCCCTCAGGCAAGGATGAGTTGGCTAGGAGTGGCCTCAGGTCCTGGAGGACAGGTTGGCGGGACTTGGGGCAGCCCCACACCGTCCCTGCTACAGCCGTACTCCTTTGCGGCTAAAGTGCACCCCCTCACCATGGCAACCCCACCACCCTACTACTGACTGACATCACCTGTGGGTGCTGGGCATCCAGACCTAGCTCTACAACCTCACTCACTCAGTATCCCAGTGATCAGGAGTGTGTCACTTAGGTCCTAGGTGATACGGTCCCCAGGACTGGTAGAGCCTTACCCCTCTGGAAGGTGGGGAGGTGGGAAGGCCCTGTCTCCACGTTCACAGCAGCCAACTCAGGCATCCCCACTCCACATTGTAGCCTTGTCTCTTATCATTCAGCTCTTCCCATCCGTGGCTGCAACCCCTGCCCTTCCTGCTGCACCCTCCCCCACTGCTGCAGCCCCTGCCCTTCCTGCTGCACCCTCCCCCACTGCTGCAGTCCCTGCCCTTCCTGCTACAGCCTCCCCCTGCTGCAGTTCCTGCTCCCCCTGCTTCTGCCCCCCCACTGCTGCAGCCCCTGCCCTCCCTGCTGCAGCCTCCCCCTGCTGCACTTCCTGCTCCCCCTGCTGCAGCCTCCCCCATGCTGCAGCCCCTCCCCTCATTGCTGCAGCCTCCCCCACTGAAGCCCCTCCCTGCCACTGCTGCAGCCCTGTTCTCCGTATTTCTAGGACCTGTGGGATCCAGCACCTGGAGCGGGCAGGTGGGAACTTGAACCTGCTGACTTCCTTCTACTTCTGCATCGTCACTTTTTCAACTGTGGGCTTTGGTGATGTGACACCCAAGATCTGGCCATCCCAGCTGCTGGTGGTCATCCTGATCTGTGTGACCCTCGTGGTACTCCCACTGCAGGTGAGTCTCCATACTCAACACAGGGACGACCAGGAGTCATTCCATGAGGAATGGTATAAAGACAGGAGGGATCTGTGGGGTCGTGCACACATTGGAAGGGCATTCCCAAGAGAGACCAGAGAGAAGGCGTTCCCGGTCCTATGGAGGGTCACTGCAGAGCTTCTCCCTTGACTCGAGTGAACAGTGAATTGTTGTTCTGCCCAAGAGCAATCATGGAAGACAGACTCTTCCTTCCAGAGGGTCTGAGGTGCCCACGTGACCCCAAGAACCTATGCAGAGAGGGACTGTAGGGGTGAAGTTCACCCTCTTTCCCAACCACAGCTAAGCAACTTTTAGGGCTACAAGGGCAACTGGAAGTGCCATTGCTGACCCTGAGCTCTGCTTGGGCCAGTCCCACCTCTGGCCTTGCAGCCCTGAGCCCCAAGCCCAGCAGACACCCCCTTACTTCTCCTGGCCCCTGTCCTGAGTATGCTGCCCTGAGAGTCTACAGTGTGCTAATCCTGTCCCTGTCACCCATCACTGTCCTTCCAGGCATCTCTCCCCGACCTGTTAGCTTTTCTGTGTCTAGAAGCCGGTCCGGGAGCATTCCGCTTCTAGCTGCTGGCTGGCGGCCTCAAGCATTCCGCTTGTAGCTGCTAGTCTGTGAACTCATTCCTTGCCTTCTTTAAGGGTCCTGCCCTTCTCCCTGCAGTTGAAGTTTCAACGAGGTCTAATACACCAAACTTTCTCTTAACATTTTCCTCTCTTACCTGAAAAGGCCATTTCCTCCCTCAGTTGTAAGTCTGTTTTCTTGCAGAAGTTTAAGGTTGTCTCTTCACATAGAGGTCCAGGCCCACCCAGAACAGAGTGTGTATGGCAGGATGGTGATGGGCTGGTTCAGCCCAATGTACATCCCTCCATCCCCCCAACTGCACCTCCATTTCTGAGGCTCTGCGTAGAATACTCCCGAAGGCATCTCCAGCCCTCCCTCCTACCATTCAGAAGCTTCTTGGGGCCTTGCTAGTCTGTGTAAGATTTCTAATTCCCTGGTCAGGCCTTGGGTAGTTCCCACCTGTAATCTCAGCCTTAAACAAGTTCAAGACCACCTCCCCATCTGAGGATTTTTATGAGAGTCAATTGACACACGTGGCAGGAACAAGGCTGTGGCTTGTTAAGGCCTTTAAGTCTCTGATGTTCCTGGGGCTTTGCAAAGATTTCTTTCTCTTTTTTTTTAAGGGGGGTGGGGTTTGAAACAGCATCTCCCTATGTAGTCCTGGAGCTTGCTATATAACAAGAGACAGAGTATGATCTCAAACTCACAGAGATCCTCCTGCCTCTGCCTCATAGTCCCCGGGATTGGAGTGTGCAGGTGTCTGGAGACGTATGGAAGGTGGCCACACACTATGGAGCAGCACCTGTCCCCCACAGTTATGAAGGCCACAGGTCCAAAATCTGATGTCAGTGGTGTGGTTCTCAGAGGGCTCTAAAGGCATGGGGTGAGCTCTGCCTCAGCTCCCAGCTCTCAGCATCTCTTGGCTCACAGACGAATCATTCCAAACTGACTGCCCTGCACATGGTCTTTCTTCTGTCGCTCATCTCCTCCCCCCTCCCCACCCCACACACCGTCTCCTTTCTTCTTGCTGAACTGGGCACCTATGTCAGCTTCTTCAGTGTGGGCTTTGATGGTATGACATCCAAGGTTTGCTGTCAGAGCTCCTGGCGGTCAACCTGATCAAGATCATGTCAGGTTCCTGATGCAAAGGCCACACCCTGATTGCAATAAAAGCCCCCTTTTATTTTTCCAAATGAAGTCACATTCCTAGGTTCCAGGAAGACATCTTTCTTGGGAGCCCCCTTCACCGCCTATAGGTCCTGTCCATACTTCACTGCTTACCCTCTCTATAAAGCCATCAGAGTTCCAGCCTGGCTACTCATCTTGTAGCCCCACCAGCTCTTTGGTCATTCATCCTGACCCAGCAGAAGTCCAAGACAGCTCCAAGGATGGGTCCACGGACAGGTAGCTGAGTCCAGCCATACAACTCTCAGCCTACATTTTCTATCTGAACTCCCTCTGGATACCTCTGCCCCTTTGCCCGCTGAAGATGGGCCGCTGTCCCAGTAGCCCCAGAGTTACTTTGAAATGAAGATGGGATGGAATTCTTTTTCGCCTTCTCAGAGGCTCTGAGACCCTGAGCCTCACTGCCCTCTATGGGGGCCTAAGGTTGAGTGTTTAAGACTCAACGTCCAAACACTTAGATAACAGGTGTTCTGGAGGTCAGAAGGAAACTGCAAGGGGCTAATGGGAGTCCAGAGTTCTAATGGGTGTGGTGGCCTCCTAAGCACACCCTCCACCTTATGGGCATCTCCATATGACCATGTGGCCCTTGTCCCGCCTACAAGGACCCATGGGTATTGGATTTAGTAGTCACCATAATTCAAGATGATCTCAGGTCAACAGATTAAAGCCACAAAAATCCCCTTTTCCAAATCAGCTCCTGCCTCAAGATTCTGAGCAGACATACACTTTAGGGGTCACTGTGAACCCTTTGAACCCTTCATTAGCTCTCTGACCCCCTCACCGTAGCCTGCAAGGCAGGCACTCTTCTCTTACTTTCCAAATGAGGAAACTGAGGCCTGAGAGAGGTAAGAAGCAAGCCCATGTTGTCCAGCAGCAGTGCCCTGCCATGGACCACCTGCAGGGAGCCCCTGTGTTCCCCAGCCTGAGGGACAGACTTGAACACCCACGGACACCTGCAGGGAGCCCCTGTGTTCCCCATCCCGAGGGACAGACTTGAACACCCCATGGACCACCTGCAGGGAGCCCCCGTGTCCCCCAGCCTGAGGGTCTTGCCACCCCCAGCCACAGGTGGGTGAGGACCCATGGAAGTGAGGTGCAGACTTGAGAATGGACACAGCGGTCAGGGTCTGCTGCCACAGTCCACTCAGAAATGAGCAAAATCCATGTGTGGTTCTGATGCTCAAGATAAAACAGGCAGTGGACACATCAGAGCCACATGCAGGGTGCCGTGCAGCTCACGTGACCCAGGCAGATGTGAACATGGCAGTTCTTCTAACTCTTGCCACCCAGCCCTAGAGGACCCCACGGGCAAGGACTGAATGTGTGGCATCTGCATCAGGAACCTGGCACCTCATCTGGTCACTGTTAGAAAGAAACCCCTAATTTCGGTGCTGAGGGTTTCCTAATACTGCCAGGAAAGCTGATTGATAGGCAAAGCCAAGACTCTCTTGTCTGTCCAGGTGCCAGAGGACAGGCTCTGGCACCCACTACTGGCCATGTAGCTTCTGAGGCCATGAGCTAGACTTCCCGTGGCTGGAGTCACACACCACAATTTTCTGACAGCTCTTTATATATGCCATCTCCTGGTCCTGCTCTGGTTTCTGCTAAGGTCACCGTCCCCATCACTTCTACATCCGGCCAGCCAAGCAGGCCTGCGCTTACTCTCTGCCCTTAGCACCTGCCCCACCCTTTGTCCCCCACTGGATGCCAGTGTTCACCCTCCCTCTCTCTCCCCACAGTTTGAAGAGCTTGTCTACCTCTGGATGGAACGGCAGAAGTCAGGGGGCAACTACAGCCGCCACCGAGCACAGACGGAAAAACATGTGGTCCTGTGTGTTAGCTCCCTCAAGATTGACCTCCTCATGGATTTCCTGAATGAGTTCTATGCCCATCCCCGGCTCCAGGTAAGGCTGTAGGCACCCCTGGGGAGCCTCAGATTTTTTCCAGGCTCCCAGAGCAGTCACCTCCCTCCCACCCCCCGCCCCCACTGTGCAAGACTGTCACATGCTTAAGCAAGGTATCTGAGCACTCTAGTCCCTGGTTATTGTATCTGATATGTATTTGGGCGGGGGCTGTGGTGGTCCCATAAGGCCCTGGGAATGACACCATCAAGGAAACAATACAGGCTGGGGGGGACAGGATCCTGCTCAGAGGCACTGACTTATAACCTGGCCAGCAGGACTACTACGTGGTCATCCTGTGTCCCTCCGAAATGGATGTCCAGGTGCGCAGGGTACTGCAGATTCCCCTGTGGTCCCAGCGGGTCATCTACCTCCAGGGCTCTGCCCTCAAGGACCAGGACCTCATGCGAGCCAAGTGAGTGTCAGCCAGGACAGCACAGTCGGACCTAAGCCTGAGGCCACGGGGAGTCCCCAGGTAGAAGTAGGACCATGACAGGCATGGCTTGGCACAGGGCCTGAGGCAGGCAGGGGCCCCAGGTGGAAGCGGGGCCAGGGTGGGTGAACCGGTCAGGATCTAGGCCCAGGTGAGCGGAACCCTAGGCGTCCATCCCTCCATGCTAGTCACGACACAGCCTAGCAAACACGCCTGGCCAAGCTGTGTTCTTCTGCTGTGGGTCTTGCCTTTGGGTATCTTTCCCTCTCTTGCTCTGAGTCTGGGGATTTTTCTCTGTCAGATTTCAGGAAGCTTAAAATAGACCAGGGGTGGGGGGAAAAAAACCTGGCTTCTGAGAGTCAATGGTAAAGACACGAGGGCTGAGGGTGGCTCTTGATTTAAAGACAAGTTGACAGAGTGACTTGAGGTGACGCGAATGTGCTGCTAACGTGTAACTGGACTGCGCTATGGCACCATCTGGGATTCTTCCCCCAATGCCTCCCATGCCACATTTTCATTCCAGAAGGTTCCTGTACCCTTCGTTGTGTGGTACAGGTGGTGCATAGCCAAGGGCGAGCAGGACAACGGCCCTGGTCTCTCATTCCCAGAATCCTGAGCCTCGGCTCCCATGGGGATCCTGCCCAGCTCACATGAGATTGTAGCTGCTTGTGTCCAGCTCTGGACTGGTAGATGGGACAGAGGAAGTGGCAGCCAGGCAGGGAGGCATCCACGGCTTTTGTGGGGCAGGCGTGAGGCTTTACTGCCCTGCTTGTTGGGTAAAGGTTTCTCCAACCAGCTCTCAGCAGGGTCAAGTTGTTTCTGTAACCAGTCTCCTGGGAACCTGGAAGGAGTTAGGGATGACCACCCAAGTCTGGGCTGCTAAATAGTCAACAGAAGAGGACAGGCTTTATGGTCCAACTTAGGGTGGATGGGAGCCCAGGAGACAGGCCCCAGATGCTGGGCAGTGCCCCACGAAAGGTCAGCTGCCCTAGGGCCTCGGTCATCAGCACCATTGAGACAGCGCTCAGGAGGACCCACTCTTTCTGGCCCTAAGCCTCTGACAGCTGCAAGCAGAGGCCAGAGTGTGGATGGATGTGGCACAGCGTGGCTTAGAACCCCCTCTTGGGCACCATCATGCCACAGCTTGGAAACCCCAGACAGTCCCCACTGACCAATTGGTGTCTCCAGGGCAGGCTCGGCTCATGGGCCCTGTTTGGCATCTGAGCTTCAACTCTGCTATGGGTGTCCGGGCATCCTGACCTGTCCAGAATGTTCCAGGAGAATCTGGGGAGGCTAGGAGGCCTGGGATGCCTTGCAGGGTTTGATGCTGGAACCTGCTGGGCCAGGCCTGACTACCTTAGCAAGGCCCCCTGCTGGGCCATCCTCTCTCTTACCCTTCATACACCGGGCCCCTCCTGACCTCCTGACTTCCTGACCTCCTCCTGGGGAGGCCCTCTGGGTCTGTAGCCTCGCTCAGCAGCTGGTGCTCTGCAGGATGGACAACGGAGAGGCCTGCTTTATCCTCAGTAGCAGGAACGAGGTGGACCGCACAGCTGCGGTGAGTTCAGACACACTCCCCCCAGCCTGCGCTGCCTGCCTCCCCTCAGCGGTAGGCCCTCCATCACCAATCACACCTCCCCCAGGATCACCAAACCATTCTTCGAGCCTGGGCTGTGAAGGACTTTGCCCCGAACTGTCCCCTCTACGTCCAGATCCTCAAGCCTGAAAACAAGTTTCACGTCAAATTTGCTGGTGTGTTTGGGGCCCTGTGGCATCATGGGCGTGCAGACTGCAAGGGGGTAAAGGGTGGGGGTGAAGTAAAGTATTCTTCACATGAGCTCAAGGAGGTTCATCCTGGGGAGAGCATGCCCACCAGATCTCTGCATCAGAGAATGGAGAGCTACCAGGGGGTAGCCTTGGCAGATGATCTGGCCTCTATCTGGGGCTGAGATCGGTGGGAACAGGAGCCAGAAGTGGTGTGGGAGGCAAGAACACTACCTGATCAAAACCTCTATGGTCAGAGCCCATGATGGGCACCTGGGGAACAGGTAAGGGCCCACCTGAATAGAACTGGAGTGGCCCCAGAAACACGGCTGCACCTTTGGGACTCAACGTGCAGCTCGCCAAGGTGCTGAACTCCTGCTGAGTAGGAGCTGGATGCCCAGGCTTCCAGGGGCATCGAGCAGGAGAGCCTTGACACATTCAGAAAGACGTGGGTGCTGTGTAGGTGTACCACAGTGGCAGGTACTGACCCTGCAGTCCCCACAGACCACGTGGTATGCGAGGAGGAGTGCAAGTACGCCATGCTGGCCCTGAACTGCATCTGCCCGGCCACCTCCACCCTCATCACCCTGCTGGTGCACACATCCCGTGGCCAGTGAGTGCTCTGTACCAGACCGACTACCACGCCCTGGCCGTCCCGACCAACCCCACAAGGCAGGGCGGGCTCCCTGGAGGAGGAGGGCATGTAGTGGGCAGAGGTCTGGCACAGAAAGGGGGTCCAGGGAGATGCAGGGTGCATTTAACCAATTGGGTAGGAGGGCCAGCCCTGAATGAGGGTGGTGGCCTCCTTACCTTACCCTGCTCCTCTGGTAGGGAAGGACAGGAATCTCCAGAGCAGTGGCAGCGCATGTATGGGCGCTGCTCGGGCAATGAGGTGTACCACATTCGCATGGGCGACAGCAAGTTCTTCCGGGAGTATGAGGGCAAGAGCTTCACCTACGCAGCCTTCCACGCACACAAGAAGTACGCGGGACTCGGGGCTGAATACAGGGTTGGAGCCCGCTGTTCCTACCATCACTGGGCTGCTCATCCTCCCTACCCAGGGCCAGGTCAGCATGGGTGGGGCCCTGGGGCAGGAAAGTCACAGAATCTCAACCAAGGACAGCATAGCTTGGCTCTGCCTACCTGGTGAGGACGGCCAAGTTAGGACATCCCAGAACAAGGCTCATGTAAGAACCTGCCACATAGCTTCTTCTGAGGCTGCCCTGGGGTCCTTAGGTCCCCAATACCCAAGGAGAGGGTTTTCCAAGAGGTCCAAGTGGGGTCCCTGGGAGGAGAATGAGTAGTTCAGGAGGGCAGCCTGAGCCACAGGGTGCCAGGAGTGACCCTGAGCTCCAGGCCATGTCTGCTCAGGTATGGCGTGTGCCTCATTGGGGTGAAACGTGAGGACAACAAGAGTATCCTGCTGAACCCGGGGCCACGGCACATCCTGGCCGCCTCCGACACCTGCTTCTACATCAACATCACCAAGGAGGAGAACTCAGCCTTCATCTTCAAGCAGGAGGAGAAGCAGAAGAGGCGGGGACTCACAGGGCAGGCACTGTATGAGGGGCCATCCCGTCTGCCGGTGCATAGCATCATTGCCTCTATGGGTGAGCTGGTGCAGCAGGCAGGTGGTAGGTGGGTGGCTTCCAAGGTGGGTGGCTTTCACATACCACCTGCCACTGGGCAGGAGACCCCTGACCCATGAGATTCAGCTCTTTCTTGGACAGTGTGAGCCTCTCTGAGCCTCGAGTTGTGGATCTGTCCAATCGGGGTACCCCCACCAGTCAGAGTTTTGGCGAGCATCAGTTACCCGGGTAACTGAGAGCCTGTGGGGTACTGTAGTAGTTAATTACTAACCAGAGGCCCCTGTAGTTCTATCAGCCCGGAGCATCCCTTGAAGAGATGAAAGCCCTGGCATCCACTAGGGGTAGATTGTCTGAAGTTGGCAACAGCTTAGCTTCAAGGCTCCTCCCAGGGACCGCTGTCTTCCTAGAACTGATTCCTGAGCAGGGCTGGGCCAAAACTCCAAAGGTGGTCCTTACGGCATGTTTCATCCCCTACCAGCCCTCCAGGGGACAGCAGGGAACAGGAATAGGTCATTTAAACTCTCAGGCCACAGGTAATCCAGGGCAATGACCATCTCATGTGGTACTAGACCCAAGCTGGGACCCACAAAACAAGTTGATGCTAATAAGTGCCCACTGTATGCCCAGTCTAAGTGGTCTCAGGGACTTTGACTCTGTGGTACACATTCTCAGCCATGTGTGACATGAGCCAGCAGCTGCCTGGCTCTGAAGTCACTCCTGCAGTAACAGCTTGCCCTGGCGGTCAGGCCTGAGGGAGAGCTTGGGGTTGGGGTTCTGCTGCCCAGCTCAACCTGCATCCATTGCTTGTATTTGCTCATGCCCATGCCTGAGACTAGAGTGGCTCAGGAAGCCCTTCCACCCACTCCTCAGTTCTGGCCCACAGAGGCTGTGAGCTGCATCCTTGAGCTGGCCAAGGACCCCAGGCTAGCAGCCCTGACCTGAAGTGGAAGCAGCAGAAACCAGCAAATGCAAAATGGCTTTGCTGCTCCTGTGTTCCTGGGTGGCCACCCTCTCTAGCCCTGTCCTTAAAGCGGATCTATCAGTTTCCCATAAGCCTCGAGGGTCCTACCCTCAGGAAGTCAGAATCAGTCACAGCAACCAGTATGGATGGGGCCCTGGCTGAGGGCCAATCACCACCCCTCAGCCCGCCCCCCCCACCCCATGTCCTGAAGGGGAAACTGAGACTCGGAGATGTGCTGAAATTCCCAAGGCCGCACAGCTGGCCTAGAGAATGGAGTAGGAAGGGCTGCTGGTCAGGTTCAACCCCTCTGTCCAGGGACAGTGGCCATGGACCTGCAGAACACAGACTGCCGGCCCTCCCAGGGTGGCGGTGGCGGGGGCAGCGGCGGCAAGCTGACTCTGCCCACGGAGAATGGCTCTGGTAGTCGGCGCCCCAGCATTGCACCCGTCCTGGAGCTGGCAGACAGCTCAGCCCTGTTGCCCTGCGACCTACTAAGTGACCAGTCAGAGGACGAGGTGACGCCCTCAGACGACGAGGGGCTCTCTGTGGTTGAGTGAGTGTTAAGTGGGGCTCAGCTTTCAATGGGAGGGAAGGGTCCCCAGTGCTGGGTATAGTAGCAATCCCTGCTTCACCAATGGGGTCTTCTGGGTGGGGCCAGGGAATCACCCCAAGCCTAGTCCTGGGGAGCACTTGAGAGCACGCTGGCAGAGATGTACTAGGCTGCCACCCTCCCCTGGCCTTGGCTGGAGTCAGAGATAATGGGACTCAGAGGCCCCATTCAGTGGCCTACAGAAGCAGGCTGGGCGATGGGGTAGCACAGCCCCATGACATTGCAACCACTGAGCTATCTACCCTTGGTTATTCCATGAGTTGGTACAGAGCCAGGCAGTGAACCACAGACATTCCTGAGCTAAAATCACAGCAGAATCGGATTCTCTTGGTACTGCTGGGTATGGTAGTACCTCATTTCAGGTGGGACTTCTTGGGGCAGGGTCTGTAGAAGTCACCAGCAGGTGATTTGGCTAGACCTTGTCCAGAACCAGAGACTACAAGCCTGTCTCAAGTGGACATCCTGGCTGGGGTCTGAGGCCAAATCTTCCTAGCTGAGACCAAGAGGGACATTAGTAAGACCTCAACAGTTTAGTTACTTTGACCTCAGGGCATCCTCCTTTTGGGAGCTGCTCCAAGGCTGAGGGGTCAATGGTGGGGCTCCCAGATCCTATAAACAGAAAGTACATGGGTCTTTGTGGCTGGGTTCCTTGAGGTACATGGAAACAGAACTAGAGGGTTGTGGTCAGGGCCCAGTGTCAAAGCATGACATGGTGTGTATTAAGCACTGTAGGGTGGGGAGGATGGGAGGCAGCCTCCTAAGAGGCTAGTGTAACCCACTGGAAGCACAGGCCCAGGTACCTATCTATCACCTGGGGTGCCATGGACATCCCTCAGTAGACTGGTGATTACAACCCTGGAGTTCTCAGCTTCTAGGCTCCAGAGGGGGAGGAAGAGAGAGAGAGAGAGAGAGAGAGAGAGAGAGAGAGGGAGGGAGAGAGAGAGAGAATATGAATGTGTGTTTGTGTGTGTGCACGTGACATGTGTATGTACATGTGTGGAAGTGGGTGAATATTGCTTGTATGTGTATGTACATGTGTGCAAGTGTACACGTGTGTATGTGTGCATGCATCTGTTCCTGTGTTTTCTTCCATGTGCATATGTGTAAATATCTGCACTAAGTATATTATGTGTGGAATTTTTCCCCGGGGGACTGACCATTGGAAGGATGCTCCCAGCCCTCCTTGGGTCCTGCAGAGGGGAGTGGTAACAAGTGGTCCTTCTGCATCCCACCTCAACCTGGGCCATTCTAGGACCTTGATGTACCTATCCCAGCCCTAACCTGGGATGCAGGGACAGGTCCCTGAGGACTTGTCTCTTGTGACTGTCCCAGCAGATGTAGGGATTAGGAGCTGGGAGACAGTAAGGCATCCCTGCTAGTACCAGGTGACTCCATGAATATTCCAGGTAAAGGGTGCCATGCTGTGGTCCCTGTCTTCATCCAGGTACGTGAAGGGCTACCCCCCCAACTCACCCTACATTGGCAGCTCCCCAACCTTATGCCACCTCCTGCCTGTGAAAGCTCCCTTCTGCTGCCTGCGGCTGGACAAGGTAAGGCTGAGTCTCTGCAGCGGCACCCTAGACTCTGCTGTGGCCACCTGCCATCCTGCTTTGGTGGCCACCATGTACTTCGGGGGTGCTGCAATTGAGCAGGAGCAGACCCCTCCCTACCTCACCCACCCGCTCTCCACCTCCCTGCTCTGATCTCACGGCAGCCTTTTCTGAACCGGCTGAAAGCAAGTTAGGACCCCCGAGCCCTGAGCCCCCAAACATCTTGCATGTTCCCAGATGAGGAGGACTGCTTCTGTCCTCATAAAGCCCATTCCCAGAGTCAGGCAGAGTTGGGGGTCTCCTGTCAGGGGAACCCAAGTCCTTGTCATTCTTTAAGTCAGCACATGCCTTCCTGCCTTCCTGGGATCCCTTGTTGACCTCTGAAGAGCTTGGCTTCTGTGCTTAGTACAACAGAACTCCATCTATGATCGAGCCAGCCCATGCATCCAGGCTGAGCATACTGAAGCGGAGTGGGGCTCAGTTGGCCGCATCTCTGGCCATGCTGTCCCCCTGTAAAAGTGACTGTCTCTATGGTTCAGTCACTGCCGAGAGAAGGGCAAGATGGCTTCTAACCTTCCCCACTCTGAATCAGCTCTCTTAATTCTAGATCCCGCCAGTAGTTCTCCTTAGCATGTCGCCAAGGAAACCATCCTTTGCACTCACGCGGTGGAGGCACATGGCCTCTTGTTTTACTCAGGGCCCATACTTTGCTCTGTGTTGTTTTGGGATCTGAGCCCTTTGATGCTTGCCAGCCTCTCACACTTCCTCCCTGCGCATGCCCAGCTATAGATTGGGACCAGGCACCTCCAACTGAGGTCTGACTCAATTTAGGGAAAGGGGCTTGGGGAAACAGATCAGATCAGATCAGATGCTGCCTGAGACCTTGATTCTGGGCTCAGTGGTAGGCAGAGCTAAGCAATGGACTGTGTGAACACTTATCATGCACACACACGTGTACACACATGACTCGGCCCTCTGTATTTCTGTAGCTAAATGCTGCAGTGACGGGCTTACACCCAGCTTTGTGGGACACTGACCTTAGTGGTGGCCAGCAGGATGAGCCCTGGTGGCTGGTGGCCCAAGATCTACCCAGGGCTCCCACGTGCTCCCACGTGCTCCCACGTTGCACGTGCCTGCTGATGTTGGCCCACCAGCTTCTCCCACAGCCAGGGTGGTGCCTAGCTTGGGTTCCCTCCACATCCCCAGGGCTGCAAACACAACAGCTATGAAGATGCCAAGGCCTATGGGTTCAAGAACAAGCTGATTATTGTCTCTGCTGAGACGGCGGGCAACGGGCTCTACAACTTCATCGTGCCGCTGCGTGCCTACTATCGGTCTCGTCGGGAACTCAACCCCATCGTGCTGCTGCTTGACAACAAGTGAGACACTGTGCACTCCCATAATGCCTCGCCTCCCATGCCGGAACTGCTGGCCAGTTCCCCGTGGCTTCCGTGGCTTCCGTGGCCATGCCTTCTGTATCTCACTGGCCTTAGCAGCTCCTCTCTAGTTTCTCCTGTAACCTCTTCACATCATGTCCCCACAACTTGACAGTTCCAGTGGCAGGACCACGGGGATCCCCAAAACCATAGCTCCTTTCCTCCAAGGACCCAGAAGCATGGCAGTCAGAGCCCAAGGTCCTGTCTTGGCTGTATAACCTCAGCAAGTCCAGGGCCTCTATTTCCCCTGAGTTGGATAAGCGGCAGAACTTTTGGTCTTAAGTACCCCTTAGTCCCATGTTTTGGGGGCCCCAAGAGTGTGGGGAGGATAAAGCATAGAGCAAGTAACACCTGTCAGCCCTGCTGTCCCCACAGACCTGACCACCACTTCCTGGAGGCTATCTGCTGCTTCCCCATGGTCTACTACATGGAGGGCTCCGTGGACAAGTAAGATGAGAGCAGCCACGGCCACAGTGCCTGCTGCCCCTCCACCGTCCTCCCCCAGAGCTCCTCAGTGAGCACTTGGCCCAGATCCAGGGAAAGAGAGAAGGGGTTGGGAGGGACTTGGTGGGGGGGGGAGGGGAATCCTTCGCCATAGTCCTTGCCCTGTGCAGCCTGGACAGCCTGTTACAGTGCGGAATTATCTATGCCGACAACCTGGTGGTGGTGGACAAGGAGAGCACCATGAGCGCCGAAGAGGACTACATGGCAGATGCCAAGACCATTGTCAATGTTCAGACCATGTTTCGGTGAGCACCTGACCCCTGGGAGCCAGGCTTCCTATGAGGTCTCCACAGAAATGGATATGGAGAACCATGTGTCAGAACCACTGTGAGAACCCATAGCCCCAACCAAAAGACCCACCAAAGTCCACAGCCCTGACCATGGGGCCCACCATGGTCTCCAAAGCTATGACCATAGGACCCATCAGAGTTCACAGACCTTACCACAGGACCAACAAGAGACCACACCTCTATGACTACAAGGACCCAACACAGACCCCACAGCCCTGACCACAAGATCTACCAGAGACCAATATCCACGTCTGTACCAGACACACAAGAGGCCACCAGTCATGACCACAGGATTCACCATAGACTCACCCACAGCACTGACCACAGCCATATGAGCCACCACAGACCCCCAGAGCCCTAGGACCGCGTCAGACCCTCAGCCCTGACTAACCACAGCCATACGACCCACCACAGACCCCCAGAGCCCTGGGACCGCGTCAGACCCTCAGCCCTGACTAACCACAGCCATACGACCCACCACAGACCCCCAGAGCACTGGAACCGCCTCCAACCCTCAGCCCTGACTGATCACAGTCATATGACCCACCATGAGTCAGACCCTCAGACTCTCAGCCCTGACTGGAAGACAACTCTGCTAATCCCTCCCCCAGGCTCTTCCCCAGCCTCAGCATCACCACAGAGCTTACCCACCCTTCCAACATGCGGTTCATGCAGTTCCGTGCCAAGGACAGCTACTCTCTGGCTCTTTCCAAATTGGAAAAGGTAAGTGGGCCCCTCCTGGTGGGTCAGCCTTTGCCAAAGGGCCCAAAGAGGTTATGAGCAAGGTGAGGGAGGATGGGCTTCTGTCCCATAAGAGCCAAGGAGATAGGTCAGCTGATGCAGGGCTCTCCTTGGGGGGCTACTTCCTGGAGCACCTGCAAGTCAGTCGTAATCCTCTCTGGGATCGGCCACAAACTGGTAACAGATACTTACAGCCCACATCGTACCAGACACTGCCTCTGTCCCAGCTCTGAGGATCAGAGTGGGGAAAGCCTCCTGCTTCTGACTTTGGAATTTGTAGGAGGGGTCAGCTCCATGGAGGGAATCGGCTGGGCCAGAAGTGGAACTTGGGGACACAAGGGACTCAGTAAGGCGTTAGAGACATGCTAAGGACCCAGGACCCACTAGGAATATGGGAAACTACAGGACTATGGGGGACAGGTCGCTGTCTATGTTGCTCTGGTGTGTGGTGGCTGTGGCCACACCTGCCACACAAGGAATGGCCAGGCACTGGGGTAGGGGCAGTGGAAGCCCTGTGTTAAGATGAAGACAGCAGAGGCCAGGTATGGAGGAGGCAGCCACAGCCGCCAAGGCTTGCTGTTCTGTGTGAGTCCCTAGCTCCGCCTGGGCCAGTGTGCTTGTGGAGAGCTGCCAGAGGCCAGCATGGCCGACTGAAGAAGGCAGCAATTGTCTGGGCCACGCCTGATTCCAGACAAGCTCTGGGGTTTCTTACTGCACATGAGCACAGAGCTGACTTGAAGCTAGGTCAAAGTAGAAGTGGCCCATGGGAGCCTGGGTCTGGCTGAGCCAGAGAGGCATGAGGGAGCCAGGTGGGCAGAGGACCAGACAACAGTGTGACTCCTCCTGTCCAGCTTACCCGCATCCCTGGACTCTGCTCTCCCCAGCATCTGCATCCACACTGGAAAGGGTCAAGGAATGCCTAAACAGTTCAAGGCGCTAGGATTCTCGGAGTGGCCACTCAGACCACGACCCCACATCTCACCAGGGTCCTCACAGTGTGACTGAGGGTAGGCCAGGCTGGTGTCCAGGTTTGGAGTCATCGTGGAGCCTGTGTCCATATACACAGTCACACCTGGGGCCAGCCCTGCTCCTCAGGGATCTCAAGGAAGCCTGGGAATGGGTGAAGGCAGCCTACACAGACAGTAACTGGTTCACACAGTCAGGCCCCCTATGGCAGATGTCAGCAGCGAAGGGTGGGGCTTTCTTTCATTCCCCTCCCCGTAGCATGGACCTGGTGGCTGACCCATCTCTGCATCCTGGACTTGTCAGCTGTTGTCCATCCCAGGGCAGTGAATGGTCCAGGGCCCGTCATGTGGCTTCATCACAATAGGGATGGCAAGGACAAACTGAAGAAGTCAGAACATGGTGGTAGTGAATTCACGGATGCTGAGGGGTTGCAATCCCAGAACACGGTGGTAGCAAATTCACAGATGCTGAGGCGTTGGGATCCACATTGGTGGTAGTGAACTCATGGATGCTGAGGGCTTGGGATCTCAGAACACAGTGGTGAACTCATGTATGCTGAGGGCTTGGGATCCACAGTGGCTGATGTCCTGGGCCCTGGGCAGACAAGATAAGGAAGAAGATGAGGAGGCTGCTGGTATCGTGGCTTCCTGGGGATGGTAGACTCCCCAGTCACACCCACTGTTAAGGCCTGCCTATCACTGAGCACCAAGCTTTGTAGGATTGCCCACACTGAAGAAAAATGCCCACTCCTTGTCTAAAATAGAAGGGAACGCTCTGGAAAGAAGCTAACATTAGCAACCCTCCTTCCCCTTCCTTCCAGTCTCTTTGGACCTGTGGCATGGTCCCTTCCTGATTAGTGCTGTCCTTAGGAAAGCCAGTGGAATGCTTGAGTTACCACCGTGGTTCACCTGCACATGGTGCACACCAGAGTGGGAAGTTAGTGGCTGTGACTATGGAACTGTCACGTGGTACAACCACGTCTCGTAGCTCAGACATACGTGGTTCTTCGTGGGCCAGTCAAGCCCACACACCCTAGCCCCACTGCTTCGCTCTCCAACCTCACCCCCCCCACACACACTTGCCCTCTTCTGTTAACTGGAGTGCAAAGAAGGACAAAATGAAAGGAATTTTTGCCACCTTGTCCTGTGTGCTTCCTTCTGTCACAGGGAAGATGTGACTGGTGGAGGGGTCACTGATGGAAAGGCCCAGTGTGTGCAAGGCCCTAGATTCTAAATACAGGACATATCTCACAGGTTCTGGGTCCCAATTTCTTCTCAGAGCCCAAACTCTCCCTAGGCTCTGGCTCTGAGTGTGTCTGGGGAGATGCAGCTGAATATTCAAGTCTGCTAGCCAGAAGTCTGTTGATGTATGCAGACACACATCCATGTATACATACCATGCACACACTACACTCAAGCACATGCATCCATACCATGCACCCATGCTCATACCACACACGCACACAAAAATGCATGCATGCAATACCACATGTACATGTACAAACATATGCATATACATACCCCACATAAACACACCCTATGTACATGTCTTTACTCCGATGGCCACCCACAATTCTAAGACCACCTGTGATCTGAGGACCCCTTTCTTGCAGCAAGAACGGGAGAATGGCTCCAACCTGGCCTTCATGTTCCGCCTGCCATTTGCTGCTGGTCGAGTATTTAGTATCAGCATGTTGGATACGCTGCTCTACCAGGTCAGCTGGGATGTGGAGGAAGGTGGGCAGGGTCCCATGATCCCTGGACCAGAACCCACAGTTGCTCCCCATCTAAGATCTGGTCCCATTGCTCTGGGCAGCTCTCCCCAGATCTCCTGAGATATATTCCCGCTGGGGCAGCAGGTCTAACTGCCTTCAGGGATGCCCTGGTACCACTCTGGGGGTTTAGGGTCCTGGTCCTTTTTAGATCTCATGTGCTGGGCTGGCAGGCAGGTGGCTTCTGAGTGTGCTGAGGCTGGAGCATCTGCCTCACGTGGCCCCGCTGCTCCACAGTCCTTCGTGAAAGACTACATGATCACCATCACCAGGCTGCTGCTAGGCCTTGACACCACCCCAGGCTCCGGCTACCTCTGCGCCGTAAGTGCAGGCCGGGTGTACAGTGCCGTAGGGCACAGGCCTGGCACCCTCCTCGGGTCACTGCAGTCCTGGGACTCTGGGTGCTGCCTGCAGCCCTTCTCAGCCCTTCCTCTCATCAGATGAAGGTAACCGAGGATGACCTGTGGATCCGAACTTACGGTCGCCTCTTTCAGAAACTCTGCTCCTCCAGTGCTGAGATCCCCATCGGCATCTACAGGACTGAGTGCCATGTCTTCTCCTCTGAGGTACAGCCCCATTGTTGTCACAGTCCAGCTCTGGGGACCTGTGTGTGACTGGCGTTTGCCAGAGGCTCCTTCCAGGCAGGATCAGTGTCCAAAACATGTGCCTCCAGCGAGGGCAACTGCCACTGCGGGAAGAATGGTGACCTTGGGGAGCATCCCAGACCTCCAGGGGGGCTGGGTAGGGTATCAAAGGTGGTCGGGTGCAGCTAGTCTACTGTGGTAGACTATGGTAGTCCACCTACCATCCTGCCCTTGCATATTCTGTATGGATTTGAGAGGCGAGGATGCACTGGGGTAGGGGCAAAGACACCCACCGGTCCTACACAGTCCTTGGTTTCCTTTACAGCCCCATGACCTCAGAGCCCAGGTGAGCACCCCCGCACCCCATGTGGCGTTTCTGCTTCACCTGTGTCTCATGGAGTTCTTCCCTACCTTGACCAGACCCCTGGGAAGCAGGCAGGAAATGAAAATGTGTTGGCCGCTGGGTTGTTCAGGGCCGGGGGAGGGGGTGGTGGCGGGACTCTCAGCAAGTACCATCCTGCTATGCAATGGGGAAACTGAGGCAGGGGGAAATCACCCATGGGTTTGCCCACATCGTGTGTACCCTTCACCCCAGCCCAGCTCCATGCCCCATCAGATGGCCCCCCTGCAGCCTCTGACCACCACGCCTGCATTATCACTCTTAGTCTCTCTCAAGGGCTGCTGATGGTGTCCCCACATTTTCCCCAGCACCTCACATGCTCACTCAGTCATGCACAGCCCACCACACCCCACCTCTGTTCGCATTGACTCCCAGGGATGTGTTTGATGGGGATCCCTGCCCCACCAGCATGGGGGGAAACCGGTATAGACAGGGGTCCCAGTGCTAAGGCAAAGCCAGGATATACCAGGTCAGATCAACCAGCCAGATCCATAGATGTGATAGTCTGGAGAGACAAAGGATCCTCTTCCCTGGGGCAGGCTAGCTCCATCCTGGATCAGACTTTGAGCAGGTCCAGGAGGCCAGGCAGACTGGGGTACAGGTGGGAGCACAGGACCCCACAGTCTTTCTGGCCTGGAGAAGGCTGGTGTTCACACTGTGGGTCCAGAGCTCATCTCCTCCCTGGCACCTCAAGGCACAAAGCCCCATCCCATAGCCCTCCTGCCTGCCCAGTCCCAGATCTCAGTGAACATGGAGGACCGCGAGGACACTCGGGAGGCCAAGGGGCCCTGGGGCACACGCGCTGCCTCCAGCAGTGGCAGCACCCACGGCCGCCACGGGGGCAGTGCTGATCCGGCAGAGCACCCCCTACTGCGCCGCAAGAGCCTCCAGTGGGCCCGCAAGCTGAGTCGAAAGAGCAGCAAGCAGGCGGGGAAGGCCCCTGCGGCCACAGAGTGGATCACACAGCAGCGGCTCAGCCTCTACCGGCGCTCAGAGCGCCAGGAGCTCTCAGAGCTGGTCAAGAACCGGATGAAACACCTGGGGCTGCCCACCACGGGCTACGGTAAGGGCAGGCAACAAGGCAGGGCAGGTTGGGCCATAGCAAAGTGGTTAATGAGCGTCTCAATCTATCTGACCCCTTCAGCAGGCGTAGCCACAGAATGGTCACTTAAGCCTGCTCAGTGAGGGGCAGAGGAGTGTCTACCCCTACCCAGTATGGAGAAGGTGCAGAGTGACCCACAAACCGGCTCTCTTCTTCTACTCTAGAGCCTCAGTTTCCCCAGCAGAAAGTAAGGGACTAGACCTAAAGGAAGAGTAGAGTGGAGAGCCAAGCCGGCTCCCTCATAGCTCATGGCTTTCATTAGGGTACAGGTCCAGTCTTCCCATTTCTGAGAGATGTGAAGCAAGGAGTTAGCAGGTCCCTGGCCAGGGATAGGATGGGGCACAGTTGTTGGGAACAAGAATGGCCTACACATCCTCTGTCTATCCCACCGTCCTCCCAGGGTAGTCATCCCATTCCTGTAACTCCCTTCTTTCTGTGCCATTTTTGGATAACAGCTGTGTGAGTTTAACCAGGCTGCCTCTGTTGATGAGGTCAAAGGGGGCCCAAGCACTCTCTTCTGGCCTATGCCCTCCCACACTCCTCTAGCATCTCAATACTCAGCCATTGCTGAGGCCCACCCTGCGTCATGATGCCTATCATCACCGGAGATGGGGCCCTAGAGACTCCTCCAAGCAGAGGGAGCTGCCCAGAGGTCACTGGGGCTGGACCATGTGCTGGCCACGCATACTGGGCATGATGGGCATATTCACAAGGCAGAGCTAGACTTTACTAAAGGGTAGACCCAGGGAAAACTTTTGAGACCAGCATGACCACCCTAGAGCCTTTCCCAGTCACGTGCACACAGTGTGGAGTGTCCCTACAATGCCCTCAATCTAGTGATCCCCACTGTATCCCTGCCCAGGTAACCTGCTGTTCCAGGGAACTAGCCACCAAGACTAAGGGGATTCTAGCATTCATGAGCTATGGCAAGTACTAGCAGATACAAAGTCCAGCCCACATGACCAAGCTCAGAACTGGCACCTGCCCTGTGTGCCCCTTAGCCTCTGCAACCCCGCCCCCATGCCAGCGCTTGGCAGAGAAGAACCAGATTCTCTTTGGCAACTGACTTGCTTCTGAGGTGGCTGGTGCTGGCCACCACTGTCCCGGCATGGACGGTGTCTGCGTGCAGTTGACCGCTGCCCTGCACCCATTCTGCTGTGCCAGCGTGCCCACCCCGCCACTGCTTGCTGACCTGTCTCTCTCTCTGTTTCTGTCTGTGCCTCTCCTATGTGTTCCATAGAGGACGTAGCAAATTTAACAGCCAGTGATGTGATGAATCGGGTAAACCTGGGATATTTGCAAGGTAATTCTGCTCCAGTGGATACCAGCCACCACATAGGGGACGTGCCAACCCTTTGCCACCTTGGCTGGGCCAGACAGTGACCAGGAGAGATGAGAGGGCTTTGTGTGTCTACAGTGGGTTCTCAGGTCTTCTATCTTCCTCCTTGGTTTGTTCTGGCTGAGGGTCAAGGGCCCAGATGATGGTGCCCACCCTGGCCCCAGGGCTTAAGCCCAAATACTTTACCCAGCTCTGTTGTTAGAATGTGCCATGCCATCTAGCTTCGCCCTGGCTAGACAGCAGGCCGTTCCAGCAACAGCTTGCTCCTCTAGTCCCACGAGATGCCCAAAGTCCCTATGTGTCTTTGTGAGCCTCCTGCCAGGCATGAGGATGAAAATTAGGATTGCACTCTGCTAAGGCATAGGTAGGCTTGGACTACCCAAGCCAGGTAGACTTGGGGCTTCAAGAGCAGGCTCTTTCTATCTGCTTGAGACAGAGCTGATCACTTCTCATCTGTGGGCTTTATTGCTGCTGAGTACAAGGAGCTACCCCACACTGAGGCCAGAGCAAAGCCTAAGCCACTGCCTTAGGTGCCTCTCCTCCAATCAGGTTTTCTGGGAGCTTTAGCGGTGGCTGGGCCCAGGTAGACGTCAGTTTAACTGGGTCCTTATTTGCAAGGATGGCTGTGGGCAGCCACAGAGCAAAGTGTTGGCATCTCCTGGGCTTGTGGTTTTCCTCATCCTGCCACCCATGACAGCATTTATGGAAACTGGGCCCTCTGCTGGCCACACGGTGACTTCCATGACCCAAGCATGCCCTGTACCCAGTTACATCTGCTTCCTGTATGGCTCCTACGCAAAGGCGGGCAGGTGAGAGCTTGGGCAGCTCCTGCGGGATCACAGGGTGCTCTTGGGTGTTCACTGAGCATCACCTGTGTGCTCAACTGGGGAAAACGTGCTGGAACTTGGCGACAGGGACTCATAGTGCCCTCGCGCAGCAGGGAGTGGTGTCGGAATGTGAGGCTGGAATGTCACAACCTGCTCATAAAGGGTAACGTCCAGTGTGGGATGGTCCCCAGGGGCTCAGTGTACACAGGAGGCAAGAGAAAGCACACAGCCCTGAAGTTATTCTGGCTCTGAGATGAGCAAGCTAAGGCTCAGATTAGGAAGCTTATGGGGAAATGGGGACAGGTGCCCGGGGCTCGGGTAGGGAGGTGGGAGAAGGCGAGGGGAAGCAGAGATGTTGCAGAGGCCTGACTTGTTGAGAGTTTCTGTTTTAGAAGTGCATTTAAGCTGGGCCTTGTCCCCGTTCCTACCTGCTGTCTTCCTTTACCAAGCACGGGGATACTAAAGCTACCTTGGGGCAGTTGGCTTGCTCTCCCAAGCTAAGCAGTTGGAGTCAGTACCACAGGACTGTCCACAGCCCCGCCCTGGCATGATAGCTGGGATTTGGCATGGCTCTCTCAGCTCAGCACTACAGAAGCACAAAGCCAGGCCTAATCCTGCCCTCCCATAGGCCTTGCTAGTCTCAAAGATCCCCAGATCTGCCCCTGGTTGGAGGAGAATGGTAGCCCAGAGCCCAGACCTAAAGAGGGAGGATCCAGTAGCTTCCTCTCACAGCCAGGGCTTCTAGCCCCACTGGCGGGGTGACTGTCTGGTGGCCCTAATAGACACGTATCAGTGACTATGGTCTGGAGTGAGCATGACTGAATCCCCCTGCTCCTGCACACACCCTACTGCCCCTGCACTGCCCGCCCCAAAGCTGCATGAGAGACTTGCTCCCAGAATAACACGCCTCCCACTTGGCTCCTGACATGAGCCACACCATGGGGGACCTTGACTGTAGGATTTGGGTGGAAAAGCAAAAACTGATGCTCATGGGGCAGAACAGCACACCCTATTTATGTGGAGAGCGGGCTACCAGGCTGTTCTACCCTGCAGAAGTAGGCAGAGGTAAAAGCTCCATTTGAACTACCCCAGGTACAGACACACCCACTTCGCAGAAGCATTCTGCGCCATATGCCTCACCTTGGGGCTGAAGCTCTGGGAGCCAAAGCATGCCCTACCCTGGCCCAGGTGGTTACCTGGCAGCTCCCTCAATGTCACAGAGGGCTATGTCTAACATGACAAAGGATAAGAGGACATTGGAAGGGGCTGTGCAGAAGATGCCCTGTCCCAGGTCACCTTCATTTTGTATGTCCTTGGAATCCAGAGGTACCTTTAAACATGAAGTGGGTAAACTGAGGCCAGCAAGCTCAAGGCCATTGCCAGCACTGTATGTGGCCATGGTGCCCTGCTGGTCAAGCACAGACATCAACGATATAACTGGCTGCTGCTCCAGAACCACCCACATTCCTAGGGGTCACAGTCCATCATCACCCTGGGGCCACTGCTGGTGTCTCTCCCTGGAGGAGCAGCGGCATAGCCACAAACAGGAGGAAATGACCCTGTTCTCCAGTGAGTCCAAAGTATAGGGAGTAGATGTGGCATGCCCAGTCCCAGGGACAGTGGTACCTGCAGAGCGCTTCAGGAGGGTGACAGGAAGGCCCGAGCAGCTCCTGGAGGGCACGCAGGTGTGAAGGTGTGGAGCAGATAGTGTGTATGTGTAGGTGTTATACGGCTGTACATGTGGGTATTACTGGTATATGGGTGTGTCATATGTTGCAGGTGGCCAGTAGTGTTTATGGGTGCTCACAGGTATATGTGCAGGTGCATGTATGTAGGAGTATGCATAGGTGCTTGCAATGTGGGTGTAAATAGGTATGTACAAGTGTACTCAGTTATATATGCAGGTGTGCACAGGTGCACTCTGGCATTGTACAGGTATATGTGCAGGGGTGCTCGGTGCCTCTGTTCAGTCAGTACCCCCACTCCTCTCCTCTATTGGTAAATTGTCATCTAAGGTTGGCTGTCAGACGAGCAAGCAGCCTGGGAGAGAGGGAGCCAGCGCTCTGCTGTTCCCTTTGGCTGAGCCCTGCCCAGTGCAGGCAGAAGCGAAGGACAGGTATCAGGGAGGACCAGTCAGTATATGGCCAGAAAGGCTGGAGAACTACCTCCCCTGGCTCCTTGGGGTCCAGCAGAGCTGTTCTGGGTGGGGTTGGGTGATGCTTGGGCTATGTCCTTTACAGACGAGATGAACGACCATCACCAGAACACCCTCTCCTACGTACTCATCAACCCCCCGCCAGACACGAGGCTGGAGCCCAATGACATTGTGTGAGTACAAAGTACTGGCCCTCCCAGCATCCGGCGTGGAGCTCCAGACCCCACAGCTGGCACAGGTCTGGTGTGGCTGGCTACCTGGATTGTCGTTCCAGATCCTTCCTTGGTGTCTTCTACAGGTACCTCATCCGCTCCGACCCCCTGGCCCACGTGGGCAGCAGCTCCCAGAGTCGGAAGAGCAGCTGCAGCAACAAGCTCTCATCCTGTAATCCTGAGACCCGGGATGAGACACAGCTCTGAGCAGCCAAGAAGCCCGTGTGGGGACAGACAGACGGACACAGAACACAGAGAGAGCATTGTCACACGCTGGCTTGGCCCAAGCAGGCTATGCTATGACTAAACGGTGGCTCCAAGACTTGTCCCCCAGGAAGGAAATTCTCTCGGTGGGGACAATCATGAGACCACTGGACTACCCTTGAAACTGGCAGGAGGCACTTTTTAACCTATTTTTACAAGTATGTATGATTTGCATCTCTTTACAAAGCTGTACCACAACTCGTGACTTGGGTCTAGCCAAAGTATGGGACTAGCAGCAGAGAAGGAACTGAGCAGGGACTGGACACGACCCCAGGCCCCACCCTCCTGCATGGCTTCACTCAGTAATTTCTGAAGGGGCTCTGGGCTGCATGGGAGAAGAAAAGACCTGCAACTGGGGAGACCCCTGCATGGAGACCAGCTCTAGCCGCCCAACGTGCTACTCTGACCAGAGCTTCTGCATGGCTCTGAGACTATACCAGGGCCTATGGGGGCTGCCTCTCCCCAGAACCAGGCAAGGGGCCAACAGTAACAGTGCCATGCCTGCCCTTTAAGTGGAGAACAAAGGAGGGACTTATCAGGGGGCCCATCCTGAACCTGAGCTCTGCTGCCCCCTGCATGGGGTGGGGGTCCTCAGAGTCCTGTGGTCGGCCATGGCAACGGAGGGAGCCCTGCAGCTGTGGTTATGGAGGTCAGATGATGTTTCCAGCTACCACACTTGGGCTCCCCCAGCTGCGGAGCCTGGGGACCCAGGACCTGCAAATGATGCGTCCCCACGGACGATTTCACATACTCAAAGCAAAGTCTTGTCTCTAAACACCTGATCTGAGAAGCACAATTAGCTCTGGGCTCTGGCCACGCCTCAGGTCTCCAGGGATTGCTCCAGGCAGCTAACTTCAGTCTTGTTTGTGGTTTGCACGGTTGGAACTGGAACCTTCTATTAAAATGGATATATCCTGCAGGCATGCATGAAACAAGGCTCCAGGACACGGGGTCTGGAGGACGTCCGAGGCTCACCTGTTTTAGGGTTAGAACTGCCTCCTGTATTTCCCTCCCCAGACTTCACAGACTTGCCCCCAACCTCTGGCCTGGCCAACATGGCCTTCTCAAAACAGTAATAAATCCCCTGTAGCTATGGGTGGCTGGGTCTGGGAAGCTGCCAGGGTGTGTGCATGAGTCAAGTCCAGAGGACCTTCTGGCAAGCTGGCAATCAGCCTCCCTCTATGGTCCAGCATGCCCTGAAGGTAGAAACAGCCCACCTAAGGCCCCAGACTCCTGGAAATCCATCCTCACCCCACCCTGGAGGAGGAAGGTGCCTTTGATGTGACCCTTCGCCATGTGCTTTTTGGGTGTCCTGAAGGCTGAGGTGAAGGGGTGACCAAAGGGCCCAAGTTCTCCCAGGCAGAGAAGATGGACCCTCCAGTGGGTGGGCTCTAAAGGGCAAGGCAGTTGCTATAACCTGCCTGACAGGGTGCCTAGGACCAAATCTTCACTTCCCATGGCCCACCTGCAAACCCAGCCTTCCTACCCCCACTCCTTGTCTGTCTGGGACCCACTTGCTCACAAAGTATACATGAGCCCTGGTGAGGGGTACTGGAACAGAGTTAGCTGTAAGGGCTCAGGGAAGTTGTTTTGGGGCCTAGGTGGAGAAGCAAGTGGTTTACCCTGGACTAGCATGTCCAGAACTCACCTAGGGTCTATCGGTGGCCATCACTCTGTAGCAGGAGGGGTCTGACCCAGTACCCACATTCTATCTTCCTGCTCAGCCACCTGCCTGGCTGCTGAGCCCAGAGACACAGAGTCATACTGGTCTCCATCTAGATGGGGCTACAGCCTTCAAGCCCATGCTGGAAGAGCTGCCACCTTTGGGGCACCTTGGGAAAGTCATCTGACCCATATTTGGGTCGGGGTGCTTACTCTCCATGCACCTGCAGTTAGGGAACACATTTCCGGTCTCTCGGTATGTGTGTGTGTTGGGGGGTTCCTCTTACTGGTACAACCAGATACTTCAGCACAACCTTTTGCTAGTTCCTAAAGATGCCAGGCCCTGGGACTGGCACTTGGGCCAGGAGGCCATGTGTGCTGTGAGATATCAGATACCAGCTCAATAAAAACCACCTGCATACCTGGAACCTTCCATAGCTTCCTTCATACCCAGGCTTGAAGAATATCCTGTCTTTGCAGGATCCCTGGCCCCAGCCATCCTTGGACCCCATCGATTCTCCCAGACCCTGCTGGCCTTAAGGGCTCTCATGAAACACTCGTTCCATGTGGAACAGGTCTGTCCCAGCCTAGAAGGAACTAGAATTTAAACACTGCAACAGAATGTTCAAGTATAGAGAATTAGCAAGAAGCCTTTCGTGTTCCTTATTCCTAACTAATCTAACCAAACCTGTTCAGAACAGTTCCGAGTGCCTCGGGGCTGCAGCCTGTGGTTTAGTGCTGAGGGGCAGTGGGACTGGCAGTTCTGCGGTGAGGGGGCGGGAGCTGGGAGCCTGTGCAGTGCGTGAGTGCTTGCTGCAGGCTCTAGGCCGTCTCAGTAGTGTCTATTTAAAGATGTGCAGTGACGGGCAGAGGACAGGATATGCAATTGCCTAAGCACTTAGAGCAGAAGAGGAAGGGCAGAGATGGATACCAAGGCAAGGGATGAAACCGTCGCACATTGTTCTGCACTGGGGGTGACACCAATCCAACTATACACCTGCCACAGAGACTGAGGATGGTTTCAGCTGGCCAATGACAAGACAAACCCACAGTGGACAGAAAGCAAGCATGAGACATGAAGGAAGCATGTTAGGACCCATCTCCCAGGTCCCTCTTACTCCACCCACGCCATGTACTTCATGCCGTGAGGCATCTCAAGACAGATTCCTGAGGGTGTGTGGCTTCCGTCTACCTCTGCCAGTACCACCCAGGCCATGTTCAGCCCTGTCATGTTTCCACCCCGCCGCTCTGACCCCTCATCCGACAGGCACCATGGAGACACATCTTAATGACCTCAAAAAGGGTTTGTTTTGTTTTGTTTGAGACATGATTTCGGAGGGATGAGGGGACAGGGTTTCTCTGTGTGGCCCTGGCCATCCAGGAACTCACTCTGTAGACCAGGCTGGCCTTGAACTCATAGAGATCTGCCTGCCTCTGCCTCCTGAGTGCTGGGACTAAAGGCGTGCACCACCATGCCCAGTGAGTCATGATTCTTAGACTTGTGTATCTTCAGAGTCTCTGTATTTTTCAACTACCTGGACCAGTGAAAAAAGGGGGTGTTCTAGGGGCAGTGTTCTGAAAGGAGCTGTGCAATGGCAGGTTGTGGGGACCCCAGTAGCACTGCAGGTTGTGGGGACCCCAATAGCACTGCAGATTGTGCTCACGCTGAAGTCCAAGGCCTCAGCCCCCAGCCTCACCACATCACATAGAACCTGGAGTCTGGCTGGAGGGTGGGGGGCTCAATTAGAAACTCTGGGGTGGGAACAGCAGCCGTCTAGACTCAAACACCCTTGGTGTTGCCGTACCCATCCTCACCTCCTGTGACATCAGAAGTTTTGCAGTCCTGTGCTTGATGGGTCTAAGCAGAGCTTGCTTATACCCCCGAGCAAACCCTCCAGCCTGGGCTTCTGTCTGCAGAAGGGGGGTGCCTGTCTTGTTCCCAAAGCAACTGCAGCTCACAGAGGGATCCCACAATGTTCTAGCTCTAAGCTGGAGGTAGCATCTGCCTATCTAGACAAAGAGCTTCAAGCCCGGCCCGGAGCCTTAGGGGGAAGTCATTGTCCGTGCCTATGGATTTCTGCATGGGCAACTCTGGGTATCTCTAACTGATGCCTGCCAGGGGTGGACAGTTTGTAACACAGCAAGCCCTACCCCTATCCTTGTTCAGACCCTTTACAACCAGACACATCCTAGTACTTCCCTGGCCTAAGGCCTGCTTTTCCTCCAAGTGGGAGCATCCAGTGCTACACAGCTTACATGGATGGACAGGGATATCCGAAACAGCTGGCAGTGGTCCAGGAGACAGCAGGCAATGGGGCTACTGTCCATCCCCAGCCTCTGCCTGAAGCACATGATCGCTAACTGGGATGCCAAACAGAGACATGGCCTTGTCTTTTGCATGGCTGAAGGCACTCCTCCCTCATGGGCTTGGGGATGCTCTCAAAGACCATAGGACAGGTGAGTAGTCCCTTCACCAGGAAAACTGAGCCACAGACCCATGTTAAGAGCTCAGAGCGGCAAGGCACAAGCCTGGACTTTGAAAGTAAACTTCCTAGAAGTTTCATCATCCCACTAGGTTAGACTGCTGGGGTAGTGATACCTTTGGGTGGTACCTACACTGACTCTCCATATCTTGAGGTTCCAAGTAAGCCACAAAGAACAGCCAGGCTAGGACAACCCTCTTCATCCCCTCCCCCACAAAGCACCACCTCTGATCCCTGCTCTGCCCAACTTCCTGAGGTAGAGTCCTAGCAACCAAGAGAGGCCAAACTCCAGGTCTAGGCAGGACCTGGACGCAACATGATCAGCACATAGCATTGGCACAAGCAAACGGTGCAGGCTGCATTGCTGACCTGCAGACGCTGGCTTAGCAGTTCTCAGGAGGCCCTAACTGGAGGCACTGCCATACCTCCCTGCTAGCACTTCAGCTGAAAAACATTTAGGTTTCCCAAGTTGTGTGAGAAGATAGAATCTCACCCACTATGGCACAATGAAGACACAAAACAAGCCAGGTGTGGTGGCACGTACCTTTGATCCCAGGATTCAAGAAGCAGAGGCCAGCCTGGTATACACAGCAAGAACAAAATTAGCCCCGGCTTCATTGAACCCTATGAAAGAAAAAAGGTGAGGTGGGGTGGGTGGAGGAGGGTTGCCTGAAGAGGTGATCCAGTGGTTAAAAGCAGTTGCTGCTCTTCTAGAAGACCTAGGTTTGGCTCCTAGCACCCACCTGGCAGCTCATAACCACCTATAACTCTAGTTCCAGGAGATCCAATGCCTTCTCTGACCTCTGCAGATACTTGCTGCAATCTACACACGCAACAAACTTTCATATACAGAAAACAAAAGCCCACAGAAGTCCTCACCGCAGCATATGCTGGCAGTAGAGCAAAGAGACAGGCGGGGCAGTCAGGACTGCTAAGCTCTGCCTCTAGACACAGGATGTGCTTCAGCACTTTGACCCCGTGAGTCCCTTTACCCCAGTGTCCAGACATCAAACAAGGGCTGCCTTCCAGAAGCCCCTCAACTGAGGACCACATCCTCCCAGACGGCTTGAACTTAGAGAATTCTGATTTATGTTGTCCTCTGCAATTAGTAAATCCACTTCACTTATCGGCTCTTCCATCTTATCAGCCCCAGACCAGCTGGTAACTGGAACAGTCAACCGACTTTGTGATCCCTGTGTTACAGATGAGCCACAGTACAACAGGGCCATCATCATCCCAGGCTGCAGTCAGCTTGGACCAAGCTCTCTGCCCCTGTAGGAACCAACATTTTGTCCATCACCTGCTCTGCCCACAACCACTGGGACCTCCCTGGTTGCTCACTATGTAGCCCAGGCTGGTTGTGAGTTTATGATCCTCCTGCCTTGGTCTCCAGAGTGCTTGTGTTATGAAGTTGTTTCGTATCTAACACATACTACTGTGCTCTCTGGGTAGTTTCCAGTATTTCATCATACAAAAATGGAGGAAAGCCAGGCATGGTGGCGCACCCTTTAATCTCAACACTTGGGAGGCAAAGAAAGCTCTGTGAGTTTGAGGCCAGCCTGGTCTACAGAGCAGTTCCAGAACAGCCAAAGCTAAAAAGAGAAACTCTATCTTGAAAAATCAAAAGAATGGGAGGAAAATCATGTGAGGTCAGCTCTCTCCAAGTAGAAGTCTTGCTGTGATAACATCTACCATGGCAAAGTGTATTCCAAATTCCTGTGTTCAGGCCCTAAGCCCCAGAACTTTAGAATATGACTGGGTTTAGTGTAAGGGTTGAAAGAGGAGAATCAAAGAGACGTGGTCATTGGGGATCCAAGCCTATCTCACTGGTGTTCTTCTAAGTGGTTAGGACTGATACAGGACACAGGTAGGTAGACTGTCTACAAGCTGAGGGAAGTAGCCATAGCAGCTAGCCCTGACACCCCTTCCTTACCTCAGGCCTCCAGGA